ACCAATAATGGAACTGAACCTGTAAAAATAAATTATTTCATTCTTTTTTTAATAGGAAACGTCAGGCTTCTGTGTTCATCCGTTTCGAAATTGTAATTTCATCATAAGATCCACACCAGTAGAACTAAAGCTTCTTTAAACGGTAAGCTATCTGTGCAACATAATCAACTTTTCATGAACTTATATGGAAAACCGATCGGCAGTTTACTCCACAGAGAGTCTATTTCGGTTTTTATAATTTCCAATCGACCATATTTCGTTCCCTATACTATTCTTTATAACATGTTCAACTCTCGTAACCTAACACCGAGTCACACAACGCGTGACGCCTTCATGAATTAACCGTTTGCTTTTTTTCGAGATGTGAGCTTTGGCCGTCTCTGCTGTCATCAGTAAAGGACATTCTGCATGATAGATGTGTTTTAATATAGGATTGACTTTAGTTTTTGATCACGTGATTGTGGAGACTATCAGTTTTTCAAATTTAACAATGTCAGGAGCCCATCTCCTGACAACGTTTAACAATCTTAGCTATCGAGGTTGAAATGTATTATATAAAACCTTAACGGTTTGAAGAAAGCCATTTAACGGTGGAGATATGAAGCATCCGATCAACGGAAAAGTACGCTTATACTATGTACTATGCAATAGCATTGAATTTAAGAAAGTTTCAGTCGCCCTGAGAAAATTAAAACATCTCTCTTCGTGGGCGCGCAGCGTCATGACTTATCTTCTTATGCGAGACTCTGGCGCTTAAACAGACATAAAAAAGATTTGAGCTTGTATGCCCGTCTATTGCGTCCCATTTAGGTCGAAATTTTTAGATTTAGTGGTCATATGATAAACTGCTTATTGACTAAGTTTGGTTGGGCCGGACGGGAAAATATTTGGCTCTCGGTCATGAAGCAAGGACCTCGCTGCGCTCCTACCACTCGATTAGTAAGTACTCAGTATTTGGGTTTTACGTCACACTTTTATCACAATTGATGTAATTGAACATGAAAAATGAAAAGTGCTATTTTATTTTTAATGACGAACGTCAAGCTTAAGTGTTAACTATTTGAAAAGTTTGGTTTACATCACAAGATTGATCACAGTACAACCTAAATTTCTTTCTTTAAACGGTAACCTATCTTTGCGTGATAATCGACTCCTTGTCTTCCTAAAATTTTCATTTTCTTGCGGGTGTGATACATGAACCACTCGTTTGCTTTTTCTCGTGATGTGAGCTCGGGCCGCCTCTGCTGACATCATTAAAGGACATTCTGCATTATAAATATGTCTTAATATAGGATTGATTTTAGTTTTTGGTCACGCGATTGTGGAAACCATCAGTTTCTTAAATTAAACAATGCTGAACAATCTTAGCTAATGAGGTTGAAATATATTGTAGAAAACCTTAACGGTTTGAAGAAAGCCATTTGACAGTGGAGATATGAAGCATCCGATCAACGGAAAAGTAGGCTTATACTATGTATGCAATAACAGTGAATTTAAGAAAGTTTCAGTTTCTCTGGGAAAATTAAAACAGCTCTCTTCGTGAGCGCGCAGCGTCATAACTTATCTTCCTATGGGAGACTCGGGCGCTTACGGCCTTTAGAAAAATATGTAACGTAGAACCCGCCGCTAGTATCCAAAAATTTTAATGAATGGTATCTCGACCAGGAAACGCTTGTGTACAAGTAGAAAACGGAAATTCAATTCGAATATGCCGAGATCTCTGAATCGATCGTTAAATCCTCCTAAAACAAAGTCAAGTTAAAAGCTACATTTCAGGTCATAGCCATTGGAAAACCACATAATGGAGCACTATGGATTTCCTATGATATGGGACAGTCCACGCAATAAATAGAGGTCTGAATTTAATTTTATGATCATCAATTTCTCAATTGAGCGATACTCAATAACCTTAATTAATGAGGATAAATAATACGATATAAAGGCACACAGATTTGAAAAAGTCGCCGTAGAACCAATTCATTTCACTGTGGTGACGATTCAATCGCGCCATCAACCGATTTAACGAAGAGCTAACGCTCGAATGTGACATATTGCAAACATAAAGATCAAAAAAGCAGTTACTGGGCTTTGCCATGAGAGCCTTACCTCTCTACAGTTACTAAATAACTAAAGCTGATAAAAACCGAGTGACTAGAAAAGATTTTCAATCGCACTTACCAAGTTGTTGACAATGTGGCTGATACTTTCAAAATGAAACGACAAAAATACTGAATTACTTTTCTAACCTTCCGAACTTCCGCTGTCACAGTGTTTTAGGTATCCAGATCACGTGTGTTTAGGTTATTCCTTTCTCCGTCTATCACGTCCTATTTAGGTTGAAATTTTCATCAATTAGTGGTCATATGATAAAATGCTCACTGACCGAATTTGGTGGGGCCAGTGCGGAAAATATCTGGCTCGAGTCATGAATATCTGGCTGGAGTCATGAAGAAAAGACCTCGCTGCGTTCGGTCCGTAGCCGGCATGATCCCAAGCCAAGTATTTTTTCCGTCCGGCCCTACCACTCGATCAACAAGTGCACAGTATTTCGGTTTTATACGTCACACTTTTATCACTCATGATGCAATTGAACATGAAAAATGAAAAGTGTTGTTCTTTTTTTAATAGGAAATGTCAGGCTTTAGTGTTTACCCCTTTGAAAGGTTTGATTTTCACCATTAGATCGATTACAGTACAACCTAATTTTCTCTTTTTTAACGATAAACTATCTTGGCGTGATAATCGACTCATTGTCTTCGTAAACTTTTCATTTTCTAACGGGTGTAATTTGCATGATTGAAGACATAACTACCAAAAAAACCAAATGACTGTATTTCGGTTTGGCACTTCACACTTTTATAACTAATGATGGTTATAAAATAATTGAGATAGATCGCACGCTCTTATAGGTCAAGTAGCTAGTTTAAATGAGAGTATGTAAACACAGCTTGATTGGACGTCATACTTTTAATGTTTGCCGGCGCAATTTGAAAACATTTCAAACTCAAAGTTTTCCCGATACTCGCAAAATAATTTCAAGTACAAATAATAAATATCGGAATTGAAGAAAAATTTGCCAAGTTTTGATCTGGGGTTAGGCTATCCCCCTTTCCCAGTGAGGAACAAAAAGGAGGAAAAAGAGGAACTAGCGCTTTGCCTGCCTTGATGATCATGAGCTGTACGGCCTCTTCGAGGAAGTTCAAGTAAAGACGACAAATATGCAACAAAATGCGCAGTAAACATCGAAATCTAAGGAAACAAGGAAAAATTTGGGAAAAACATTGGGAAAAATCGTTCTACGCACCCTACTTTCAAAGAAACCATGGAAACAATCTATCACTTATAAAGTATAGAAGAAGAGTTTTAAAAGTTTCTTTTTTTTCCAGAAAGTTTAGTTTCAATGTTTTCTCCCACCTGTCACGCAATTCTGGCTCTAAGCGGGCAAATAAACCTATGTATGTAAATAAACCGATATATGTTATAGCTCTTTATACACAATGATTGATTAAGGAAGCTAATAAATGTGAACAACTTTCGAGATTTTTTTTAAGGAATGGAAAATTTCACGTTGAGAGAGATGCGTGTAGGCGAAATGTTGATGGGAAAATCGTAGAGTTTCTTTCTTCTGTCGTTTATTACTTTGGAGATTTGCTAAAATCAGCAAATATGGCTTTTGTACGGCACAAAACATTCATTGGTCCATGATTTGTTTACTGCTCATAGCTAAAAATATTGACGCAGATGGGGATCATTGCGTGATAACTGACCAATGAATTCGTTCCGCGCGACGTGGAGTTTTCAATAAAATCTCGCTCAATCAATGGGTGGGTAATGAACTTCCACATTCACTAAGCTTTGGAAGCATTTATCCCACAAAAGTTTCAAACAAATTTTACCCGGTAAAGGTTTCACCAAAAAAATTCACTTAACAGATTTACATTGTTCCGTTCTATTTTATCCCACGTCCCATTCCACCAGCTTTTGTCTACTCTTTGGTGAGGTTTCCGTTTATGGAAATTTGGTCTGAATTTGTTGCTGATCGTGACACAAAGCTCGGAAGTTATAAACTTTCTTCTAACACTTTATTTTTGGCCAGCAGTTAGCGAACATACCGATCTCAGTGACGCAGTTTTCATTTAAAGGACGAGTTCTATGGAATGTTTGTGTCTTTGAAGATGCAAGCTGCCTATTACATAATAAGACCCCATTTGCATGGTCTCGGGTACCACAGACAATCCTCCCCCCAAGTTACCCTGGGCGAGCTAACTCTTCACTTATTTCTTATAAAAAATTCAGCCAACCGTTTACATGAAGTTATAAACTCTTCTCAGGTACACGAGACAACTAGGGGGGTGAGGCGGGCAACTTTTCCTCATGTAAACACCTTGTCTCGCCGACCCGAGACGAGACAACTCGAACAGAAAATGCGTGCACACGCCATGACCAGAATGTTTACAGATATTTTTTTCCTGCCGTCCGCCATTTTTTCGAATATGTAACCTGGCCGAATGAGGGTCAGCAGGTGTTAAATTTCATGTAAACACTTTGTAAAGTTGTCTCAGGGGGAGGGTTGTCTCGGGTACCCGAGACCATATATATGGGGCTTAAGAGTCCGGAACGCCACAGATCTTCATTTACTCCAATTTTTGCAGAATGTTCTCGAGAGAGTGACGTTGACTTTAATTGCATCTCTTCTGGCCGTGAATTATACGAGAACATAAAATTATTCATCTATTACTCATTTTTGTTTGTTTGTTTGCTTCTAAAACGCCTCAGCAAGCCGAATTCCTAACTCGTCTTATCTTTCTCTCTCGTATCGGTGAATTATTTTTTATGATAGAGTTTGTATCACATTTTAGAAAAGGAGATTAAATCACTTCCCTGAAAATTTCATTCTTGAAGTGAGATCTGAAACATTAACAGATTGCAGTTTTTACAGAAAGGTAAAAAACATTCCGTGTTAGTTTTGATATTACTCAATTCCTGTTGTGTAGCTCTACTAATGACAACTTTATTGAATTAAGATAACTATCCTCGAATGTCCTTGTTACTTCTTTTACTGCAGAGGTGAGGTAAAGATCCAGCACTTTTTACGACTCCGAGGTAAATAATTGTTTTCGTATATACCACACAAGTACCAAAAAAATAACTGTATTTCTGTCAATACACCAAAAACATGGTCTGAAACTAAACTCTCGACGGGCGATTTTGTCTCTTCAGCTGCTCAGCTTTGAAAAGAACTTGCCAATCATTGCCAGCCAGTCAGGTTGCACGAAAACCACCTCTCGCTCAGTGGTATATACTTTGTGACCGAAAACAATCCTCTCTGGACGATCAAACCACCCAATCAACATAACCGTTGGAGTTCTTGGTTCAAACCAGTTCTTGCATCATGACATGAACGTAACGAAGGTTATTATGTCTTTACAACATTTGTGTGAATATGAAGGTGTAATGATAAACGGGCAAAATAGTAAGAATGACAGAGTGACATAACCGTGGTTCATACTGGCAACACAAAGACGTAACAACTGAAAGAGATCGCTGTATCATTGTGTTAGTAGTGTGAACAAGCAGACATGACGATCAAGTAGCAAAAGTTCAACAACAACATAGACTTCTATGACAATGGGAAAAAATGTTCTCTTCTTCATGTCGTTATGTCATTCTTGGGAAAGTGTAAGTCAGGTTCAATCAAACAGCAATTCCAATATTAGGGACTAATGGTAACAAATAATCCGGTTACTTATGGACCCCTTAAAATAGTATATATCCTCGATGCATCAAGATTTCTTTATGCCATGGGTATTTAATTTTTAGTTACAATGATTTTCTAATACCATCTACACGTGAAGAAAAGTTTGTCTCGCTCGTCCTAACAGATGGTATGCATATAAGAAAGGAAAAAAGCTCGATGGGGCTTAACAATTTTTACAACTGAATACTCCAGGTAGCATGAAGGGCAGATGGAGCAAGCCAGAAGCTTATAGCTCCATTATGGAAGAATGGTTCGCTCCTGGATCATGGAAAGCGTAACAAGATCGATTTTGTTGGTCCATCAAGGGCTAAGAGACCAATAATGATATACTTGCAGACTATTCCGTAACGTTTCTACGCCTCTACATTACGGACACAGACACCACACTGCAATTACCGAACACTCGCTATCATGTGGTTCTTCACATTCCTATCGGCTAGTCGCGTTCATTTTGGACTGTATGATGCGCCAAACTCGCAAATGGACTTTTCCGTCTATCCTGAAACTCTTTAAGACTTCTTTACTAAATTCTCAGGAAACAACCTTGTCTCACACAAGTGTTTCTGTCTGTGCAAATTCCTGCCTCGCATCCTGTTCATCTACATCCTCGTTATTTTTTCTAGTCCACTTTTCTTTCATTTGTAGAAAAATCCTCTGACACAATGTACCTAGTATGCACCCGATCATTGCTATGGTGAGTTGCAAGAAGAGTCCACTTAGGTCTTCTACCTTAAGTTGAGCTGGAGGAGTTTCCCTCGGGCATTTATACTTGGATACCCAGAATTCTTGGATGAAGTCCGTCAGTCCTTTAGCTTTGATCTTTTGAAGAGCTTCTGATACTTGGATAAACAAAGGATTGTTCTTTTTAACAGCAATGGATGCTCCAGACATTGCAAAAGGTTCACCAACAACTCTGAGTTCACAATGAAGATCATTCCTTGATTCGTATTCCAGGCCCACGTGATCTGCGACGAAAACGTCCAGACTCCTGTTCATAAAAATCAAGCAAAGTGATGTGAGGTTTGTAATATTGTTGTTTTTGTGTGTATGTTGTGTTTTATTTTCCAAAATGAATTTTTTCTCTAATTTTGTAACGGTAACCTTATATCTAGATGATTTCCCTTAATAACTCATTATTGATAATAGTGGAAAAGCAAGCGGGGGCTAAAAAAAGCCATAACTCGTTTTTCACTGCCAGAGGTTGATCATTCTTTCATTTCAATAACCCAAATTGATAAGTAATTAGGTGATTGATGTCCAATGTTTTTGGTCTAATCAGTTGACATGGTTGCTAGATAACTGATATTTTGTGCCTCTATCTATCGCCTACATGTACATTCAAGTTCGTTTTTTTTGGCATAATTTTCAAGCACAGAAAAAAAATACGAATAGTGCTCGAAGATTCAAAAGTTTCAAACCCTGTTTTGACAGCTTCAACTCCTTCCCGAAGACTTTTAACATTGTTTTCTTTCATGTGATACCACACGTGGCGAAAATATGCATTTTCACTGTTCTTGAAGTAGTCGGCCATATAAGATCCGTCAATAGTGCCATACTTAAAGCCATCCGGTGGTCGCTCAATCTATATTGATGAAGAGAGAAAAACGTATTTATTAGGCAGATTACGGTCAAATAAAAAAAGAATTCAGAAATGAATCGAAACTGCTCCTTGTTGCATTTAACCTTGAGGTATTATTTGAAGTCGTCTGTCTACAATCTAGGAAACTCTCCTTTATTTTCATTATAATAGTATTAGTGAGAAAGATGTTTTTCGTCTTGTCACAAACGTGGGATAGAGAAAAGTCGCCACGAGGAATCGAACTTCAGACCTTCCGATTCCGCGCTCCGATACTCTACCACTGAGCCACAGAGACTCTGCGGTGAGCGCGGCCCATTACATAGTTCATATATGTTTAAGTATTTCGAAACGATCAAATTTTTTTAACAAATTTACCGATTTCAAATTACATTTTTCAATAATTCAATTATTAATTAATTAATTAATTAACGTATTAAGAACATAAACTTGAGATCATTCCTCGTCTTAAAGTCTTCTTCCATTTTTGTTTCCTTGTAATGTTGCTACTCATTAAAACAGGTTAACTTCCAATGTGACAGTCAATAATCTACTTGCATAGTATTCAAAGTGTCGGTAATAGCTACTAAAACCATCGGTGTACTGCTGAAATTGGAATCCTTTTAACGGGCCAAAAATATATCAAAAGTCCTTTTGCGCATATACAACAATATGGCAAAAGTGAGGTTAGGGAACTGGAATCCTATCCAGACTTTCCAAGCTTACCTGTCATTTTATCTTGGGTGTCTCAAACTGTGCATGAACCGTGTTAATCAGGAAGAGACTCAAGCTACTTAGAGACAAACCGACTCCATCTACTGATTTAAGGCGGGAAAGAACGAAAAACAAAAAAATAGAGATAAAGCTACTTAAGCAAGGTCAATTATGTGTAAGATGTACCTTGATGTCGTAAATGTCTTCCACAGGGGGACTTTTATCATCAACGATGAGAAAAGCAGCCAAATTAGCCGAATATGTTGACACAAAAACCAGCATTGCCATTCCAAATGCAACTGACGCAAGCCTAGCGCCGTTAGTTTTTGGTTTTGACTCGTCCGCTGGGCGACCAAACGCAAGAGCGAGAGCGAAACAAACTGCGTTGTCGAGACCAAATGAAGAGTTTGGATGGAACAGCTTCTTTGATCCTCTGATCGGACTAATCTTGTCCATTGCCCATAGGAAGATAATCATTATACCTAAGCTTCCAAGCAGAGTAAGCCAAACTGGAGGAGTGAAAGGTCTAAGATAAGACACCCAGTAAATTTGATTGTCTTCACGTTTCTTCTCTTTTGCCAAAAGGCGAATTCCTGAAGGCATATACGGTTCAGTAAAATCGACAACATTGGCCCTGCGAGAGCTTATGTAGAGATCAAAGCTTATATCACCCCTTCCACTAAGTAGTTCTGAAACCACGCCATTCCAACTGTTATTTGCTTCATCGTAAATTCCATATTGTCCGTCTAGACTAAACAATAACTTTGGAACTTTTTCCATCTCGTTGCATATCACTTCTAACACATCGATTACAAAGCCATAGCAGCAACGCTTTATCTCCTCTCCTTCGACAGTTTTAGAGCACAACATAGAGCCAGGCTGGCATGGTTCGCCAACTTTTTTCGGTTGGGACATAACATTGGGTGGGTACTCGTTTAGAAGGATTTTAAGGTCTTCTCCTTTTTTCTCCATTGAGAGCTTGCCATTAGACCAATAACCAAGATGTTCAAGTTCATACATATCCTGATCTTCGTTGTACTCCATTCTGTTAACATCGTAGCGAAGGGGCACTCGGTTGCCCTGCTGATCAAACTCAACAGGATCTGAAGAACCGTGAAAGTTTACTTCAGATAGAAGTCTGAAAAGGAGAATAGACACATCATTTTCGGTATCATTTTGATAACAACCTACTTTTAATAGCATTAAATTATGGTCCCGAGACAAGGTTCAATTAGATTGCTGGAAAAATAGGTTAGCTGGCTTTAGTTGTAGTTTCTGTTTTGTAAACTGTGAGAAGTAGCTCTTATGGACGAGAATATGTCACCATTTTCACTATTAGGATTTCTTATGTGACGATCTTCAGAGAGCGAATGTATTGTTCTCTAAGGCAAAATGAATAATTACATTAAATTATTTTTTTAAGACATGACGCTCTTCTTCGTCCAGCATCTATCTAACATCTTGTATCTAGCAAGTTATTTCTTGAATCTTTTAACCGTTACTCACTTATTTCAAGTGACTTTGCAAGAGTACTTTTACAGAATGAGAGAGATTCTTTTTTACCACAATTATCAGTAATGTCGGAATACAAAAAATGCCACTCGCGTCAACGTGTCACGAAATGTCTTTATCACCTCACAAATGTAGATGTCTTGAAAATTTTTACATCGATCTTGAGGTAAAAAACAAATCAAAAGTTTCGCGTGGTCTGTACTCTTATCGACAACGATATTCGACATAACAATGGTTAAAACGTCGCGGACCTACGGGACGCAGAGTACAGACCACAGAACACATTAAATCAATGTCGATTTGGTAAATATCTAAACACAAATTGTTTTTTTTACCTTCTAAATGTACAAATCTTTGGGCAAGAGAAGGCTTTCCCTTTGCGTCCATTTCCTGTTACGGTGTGGCTAATTGAGCTCACTGCATCGTCCACAAAATCACTAAGCTTAACCTTAAGAGAATATTTTGGAGTTATGGTATAAACGTAATCCCAATGCCATTGGGAGCCTAAGCTTCCGACATCCAAATCACAGAGGAAAATCCAAGTCCAAGATGGAAAATCTTCTTTTACGCTGAGTATCTGTTCAGCGAGTGAAAGATTATTCGTTATCAAAATGATATTACTAGCATCAGTCTCTAATTTTTTTTCAAAATAATCAAAATTATCTTCATTGTATACCAGCCACTCTGTCAAATTCAAATTCCTTGGATGAAGGGATTCCTTCAATAAATTTACGAAGTAATTTGAGCTGGGCTCACTATCCGTCACCACCAAAAATTTTTTCCAGTTTAACTTTCCTAAGAGTGCTAAGAGGGCGTCTCTCTTCGTCACCGTGCTTGAAACTGTATTTATGCTGGAAACATGGGCCGGATCATAACTCTGATGTATCCCAGTGTATTGGTAATTCGGGTAAAACTATAGAATAAAAAAAGAAATATTAATTACGTGACAAGAGGTTGAAAAAGCGCACAAAAAACTAATTATAAAATTTTGAGCCATCTTTAAAATTGCTGATTTAGAATCTACAGGAGCGTTGCACTAATTAATTGAAAGAAATGAAGCATAGTTGGCTAGGGCTGTTATCATTTCTTGTTTTTTCTTTTTTTTTTTTCCAAGTTTTTTAGGTAATAAACCAAAAATATTGTTTTGTTAGTCATTCATGAAATAAACTATAACTGGAGACAACGTGATCAATTATTTTAGAAAGATTAAGCCCCCGAAAATAATGCTAATTATTGACTCTTCCACCCAGGATAGACGTGAATCTATGCCATAGGCAGGGGAACTACCGATACTGACATCATGTTACACGATGCTCATCTGAACACCTTAATCGCATAACAAGTTTCTCTCTCTCTGACAAATAGTGCAAGCTACCTCTCGTCTGGGGAAGTCGCCGTTTGCAGTTGAAAATGATTATACTTTTATTAATTTTTCATTTTTTCCACAGTTTTTAATTCGCATAATAAAGAGACTAACACATTTAATTCTCGTCAAAACTAAAAGTTCGTTTTAACAGCGAGCCCCACGTTTTTAAAATTAAACAGTTATCACTGGTTTGGAATGTCCAGTTAGTATTTCCCGCGAGATTTTTGTAGCGCTTTTGGGCTAAACCACGTTCAAGAAGAAATAAACTGTCAATTCTTTACTTACATGTTCACAGGGGATTCCAAGGAAACTTGGCGTCATTTATAAAGATTTCTGGTCATTCGGTGTTATCATTGTAACAATGCAAATAGAATGTTTCAGAAAATTCCCATCTTTCCCCTTAATGCACTAAAGAGAACATTAGGAAGTGTCCTTCCTTTCGTGCAGACTATCCCTACCCTTATTCAGTCGGGTTTTGTGACAATTATAAAAGGTCCTGGCAATCATACATACCGGTGGTATAGCTGTTATAACATTTACCCCTTGGGTAATTGCAAATTCAAGGACTATTCTCGCCTTGCTATCCTCGGCTGCATACACCATAAAACAAGGACCAGTTTGTAGTGCATTCTGAGCAAGTTCTATTATTTCCGAAACACTCGCGTCGCTTTTAAGAAGAAGAGTTCTGTTCATAAACTTGGGAACACACTCCTTAGAATTGTGACTTGATGTGGCGTTCTCAAAAGCTTCTTTAGAGGACGAATCGGCGAAGTCGAAGACTCCAATAATGCCAAATGATCCCTTTTCTCGAAAGTTGCAGTTTCCATGCGAAAATACAAAGTACAATGTGCTTATAAAAAAAACGGCCAATGCTGTATTTTCCGGAAAGCTCATACCCTTTCTACCTCACAAACCATCACTTCAAATCTGCAGTAAACCTCCTTGAGTAGATTTGGCAAATGACACTGCTTTCAGTTGTCAGACATCAATGTAATACGTGCCTTTTCCTATGAAAAAAAAATGTTTGAAAAAAAAAGGAAAACGTTTCATTCCTAAATTTTCTGGGTTAAATATTCAAAACAAAACCAAACTACCAGTATCATTTAACCAAGGAATGTCAACGTAAACCAAATTAAAGATCCTCGCTGGATGAGAGAGCATAAATCCAAATCTGGACTTCACGGAAAGCCGGCTACATTTAGCCAGACGTGTTGAAGATATCTGTGTAAAAACACACTCACTCCTTTTTATCTCTTTAATAATGTAGAAATTTCTCGCAGAATATGTCCAAGTCGTTGTTGATTAGGTTCTACGGGTATATTTACATTACCAGATAACATGTTTGTCTGTAATAAAACCGCACTTCTGGTGGCAAACAGAAGACAGTTAATTGACTACTTAAGAGGAAGGTATGAAAAAAATATTTTATCAACCTAAATTTCCGTGTTGCTGTGTTTGCGGACGAAAAAATCTTAAGAGTAAAATCTTTACATAACAGCGTCTTGCAAACCCCTCTTAAAGAAAAACCGTCATCCGTACTATAGATTGCATCTTTTAAATAGATGTGGTTCCTAACTGTTTACGACCGAACCGGAAACAAATCAACAATCAATCATGAGCTCGTTTTTCCTACTAAAATTATTTTTGGCAGAAGATCTTAAAGAAAATTATTTCATAATCTTTCGTACTGGGATTTGAAAGTGAACACTAGTCATGGGCCGACATACCTAACAATGCGTTGTTTTTCGTTATTCTTAAGTAATGATACACAACCCAATAAACCTCAGTAAACAACAAACAATCCGATCAACTTGACTGTAACGGCCGTAAAATAATTTGAGGGCAGTGTGGACGCGTGAAAAACATTCTATCTTTTGTCTTTGAATTACCTATATTTAAAACAATAACACTCCCATAAATATTTCTTTGAAAAAAATTACACTTTCTCTTTTTAAATTAGATTTAATGAAATGCAACCTTAAATGATCGCATCACGGAAACCAGTATCCTTACAGCTTTGGTTTCTGGAAAAAGTATGTTACTGCGTGACAGAAGCCCGTTCAAAAATTCTAACCCTGTTCCATTATTTCATGGTTATGGTCTTAGGAGACTCGAAGAGTTAGGGTTGGTAATGCACAATAAAATTCGAGTAAAACACTATAAATTGAAATTTTGTTCCCACTATGTTTAGATAACAATCAATTTGGCACATGTATACACCTAACAGAAAAAAAAAATAAGTGGAAAGATAACATTCGCCAAAAAAGATGAGACAGCCATAAACTCTGGATTTCTTGCAGCGACGTCTCATGCAATAGAGCAACTATTAAGAATGTTCTCTTTTTTTCCCCTTTCTTTCTTTAAAAGTATCTCTAACTATTGTTTCTTTATCAGATTTTGATTAACATTATCATTATTTTACGATTCTTGTTGAAAAACCTCGCTCCATAAGCCCTTCATTTTCAAAAACCGGCAATTTTTTGAACACCAGTCACCGAATTAGAGGTGGCTGGTGATGGATATTTACCAAGCTGCGAAGTGGCAAGGAAAATATCCACCGCTAACCACCAACACTAAGGTGAATAGTCGTTTTAGTATAATGGTTCTAAAAAGTGTGATAATAAACCCAAAAAATATAATTTAGCTCATTTATTCCTGCAACCACGTTGACAATATTTAAGGGCGCAGATCCCGCGTGCGTTTCTCGGAATAGCAAAGGATATGCGGAGTTTGAGTAGCCAATCAGAGAGCTCCTTCAACAGTATCTACTGTGTTATTATATACTAAACTCAGATATTCTCATGAGTAATTCTCCGTTGGAGTTGATTTAATCTTAAGCGGATTCTTATGTTTGTTTGATGGTCTATTTAGATTGTAAGGAGAGATTGATCTTAAATCCATAACTTTGGAGATAAAAGCCATGGGGCAAAAATTCAAATTAGTGGAAATAATTAAAAGAGATGATAGGTCTAACCCTTCAATAACATCACTTAACAATAATAACAGATTTAATGTTCACGATTTAAATGGTAAGTTTGACTAAAACAATAATAATTAAAAAGTTTTCAATTTGACAACTTCCTATTCCATCCAGTTGTACTCTCAGTTAAACTTTTTCCTTGCGCCTCTTGGATCGTTGACATATTGTTGATGTCAAGAGAAGAATTAATAAATACATTTGACAGTCCTCGATACAGACATAAAATGCCTTACAGCAGCAGCACCCCACTGGTAAAATCAATTAGAAAATCTTTAAAATTTGGTGCAAAGTGCAAGACGTATTCATCATACGTAGCGAAAACAATTAATCCAAATAACATTCGATCTCCATCTATGATATTTTGTCTTCATCTAATTGCCTAAATTGCTGACTTCCTGTTGGATTATTACAGTTCTATCCAGCTGTCACACTTTAGGCAAAAATTTTGGTTTACCCGTGTGGAAGATATCTGACAATCCTGTACTTTATGCTCGAGGATAAACAGATGTGACGCAATTTTAGATTTAACACATCAGTTATATTAATAAGCTCAACCATAATAAGAATTTACTTATGGACATAATTCAAAACTTTTTTCCTTGCGGAAACTTCAATACTTGAAATAAAATGCGATGGTATTCAAAATTCGTATCTTAAATGAGCATAAAGACATTAATTGTACTCACAGACATACTCTGGATCAGAATGTTTGCTTCGCAATGAAATGTGGCATCTTTTCAATTGATTGGTCTGCGATTTTGTCGCACTTGCATTTATATGGATCAATCCTAATAAACGCAGTACCAGTAAATTGGCAAAACACGAAGACACCAATTCGATCTTGGTTACTGAGTCCACGAAATTATGTTTAAGAAAAGGACAGTACCTTGCTTATGTAACAATCTAGCCATGTTACGCTCATATCATGTCGTTGTAGTTTGGCTAGAAAGAAATCAATCTGGACAGCCGCCACGCCACATGCTTATCACGGCATGGAACGAGAAGATCCACGCGAAGTACCAGACACGTTTGATTAGAAATAAAAAAAATACTAATGTGTCAGCGAAGTCGCAGCCTTCAATTTCCTTTCTGTTCGCAGAGCGATTACTTGATCTCAATTCTTTTTTAGCTTCCCACAATGAATACTCGTGCTGTATATCATAGGTTTAAAAGCTTTAATTTCTGAGTGATATCCAGCCACTTGAGGTGAGAATGTTTTGATTGTCGAGTGCTTGAACAAATTCGCACTTTGGTGTGAATCAAGGCAATAACCATCAACGAATAAAATTACATCTAAAGCCTGACTGATGATGTATATTCAAGCAAAAGTAGTGTTGTCCCACTCATAACTCCAAATCATAGGGGAAATTTTTCCAAACGATTAGCATATAGCACTTGCGCCCCAGCATGCAGTCCTTTTGTTCTAAATTTGCATGAAACAATTATCCGGTGCCACAAGTCGCTTCTTCTCGGGGTAAACAACACAGCAATACCTCAAACTTTTGTCGCTTTTTGAACGATTGATATACCCTTAATCAAAGCTAAAACTTTAACGTTAGATCCTTAATCAAAAATTACCATTTGCGACGATGTTTTTCCAATTTTCCCCGCTATTTTGGATCGAACTAGATATCAGTAAATGAATGGATAAAGCGATATTTTGAGTTTTTCTTTTGCCTGAACTTATATCACGCTGAGGAAGTTAAGGAAACCATCTGGAAATTGAATGCAATTAAATAGCTAGAAAGAATAAATATCAATGCGAGCTTGGTTGTAACATTCCCCACCAATTTTACTTTTTTCATTTCGTTTCGTTTTGAAAATACTCAAATAATTCAATAGAGATTTACATTGCCTTATTATGCCGAATCGATGTCAATTTATTTTCAAACACGATTCGCTAATTTTCATTTTGTTTTTTGAGCTAGCGGCAGTGCTCAGCTTCACCTCAACAGTTATCATAAAGATTAAATTTTAAACAACCATTGTAAAGGCATTAGTTGACATTAATTGATTTATCGAGTTGTGGATCTCTAGCCTCTGATCAGCGAGAGAGACTTATTTTGTTTACATGTGGCAATCAAAGTGTAAATATCTCTTTTCAGTGGCTTAAATTGGATTGACAAGGTCGTGTACAGACATTTTATTTGTTGTGATTGCATAAACTGATACACAGACCACATAGGGCCATGAGGGAAATTACAGTCGACCAGTCACCCTTTGTTCAGCGGTCGGTTTACAAAGTCCCGAAATTTTCTCCACTAAAATACTGTAATTTCTACCTCTGTTCACATTTTACTAAATCTCCGTGGCCTTTTTTCTATTGTTTTTCACCTGTATCAAAAGCTCACCGAAGGCGCAGCCACTAAAAAAAAACTACTGCCCTATTCACACCAGCAAAACATATTTTGTTAAACTGGTTCTTACTAAATGAAAATCATAAACAGAGAACTGAAAAACTTCATTTTCCATAGGATTCAAATACTCAGCTTACTTGCATTTCCAATGTGTTACTGACATTTAAGTAAAAAAATATTCAGTTAAGTAGTTTCGACGAAAAAGAAATTTAAACTGCGTTTAACAAAACAACTTTAAAAAATGTTGAAGCTTTGATGTGAAGGGGTATAAGAATAATATTTCAATTAAATTATTTTTCAACGATTTTTACAATACTTCTATTCCCGTGGATGACCGCTCAGTAAAGGTTCGACTGCGCACTCTTTTGCTGTAATGATGCACCCCATCCTGAAAAAGTGTACTGACAGACAAAATTAAAGTGGCTAGCTATTTACAATTGGTGTTCCTCCATCACGATTATGCACAATTGCCAATGATGAAATTCCAGTTTAGATATAAAAAATAAAAAAGTATTTGAAACTGGCTCAATAAATTTTTCGCAGAAGCAAGCGCGTGGAACAACAAAATGTAGTTCATGAACATAAACATCAGATTTGACCAATAAAGCGTCGCGAATCCATTGTGATCCGATGTCGAGCTTATAGACATAGTCTCCCGAAATAAACTTACATATTTAACTTAGTGGATTCTCACCTTACTGAGGATCAAAGCTATGCGGATTTTTTGAGTGAAATATCTCAGTAATCTTTATGATGCGGTTGACTTGGAACTGATCTTATCATTCAAGAGAAGGGGAAGAAACAGAGAGGTGCAATCAAAGTGTGGTTTGAGATATGTCAGTCCCACTGAAGTTATCTTTAGTAGGTCAGAGAGGAGTGGAAGTGTGTTTCCCAAGACGTTCGCATTTCCTTCTTTTTCGAAGTAGTATAATCAAAAAAACCTTTTTTCCTAGCTGACCCCGTTAGATTGCAAACCAGAGTTCTTTTGAAACAACTAACAATAACATAATAATGGCGATAGTAGTAGTAGTAATAAGAATAATAATGACAATGATCGTAACAATAAATATACTAGTAAAAATAATAACAATAACAATAATAATAACAAAAACCGTTGTCATGAAGACTGAATGAAATAGTAAACAACTCATGTGTGCAAATGGGGAACGAGTTTAACACTGATTTAAATGAGATCTTTCCAGACAAGTATTGGAAGGGCCACCCTACTTTTCTTGAGAGAATGACTTCTCAATTTTTGTGGGAAATTGAAGCTATGAATTATGCATTTCGCGGTGTGAGGTTGTAAATGAATAATAAGTAATGGGAATTTTTTTCTGAAAAAATCAAGTAGTCAACAACACTGTTTTTGATTGCACCTTGTTTCATGCGATTCATAGTCGAAGGAATGACAACGTGTTTCGCAGCAAATTTGAAAAGTTAATCATTAACTCTGACTTCTAAATTCCTTTCGTTTTTAGTTACGAAAGTTAGACCAAATAGTTTGGTGATTCAAGAGTAATTCCTTTTTTTAAACTGAGATTCGATTTCAAGCATCTTAGAAATATACTTCCATTGAGATGCTTCGGTAATTCTTCGATAACCTTTCTTAGAATAAACAGCAGACGCTGTAAATACATCACATTCGGCCTATAAATTTTTTCCAGCAAAATGCAAAAGCGTCCATTTGATAAATATGCGATAACAGAGTATTATAACCGTCTAACAACTAAGTTTCTGAGAAACTTCTCTTCTTTTCCAGGGTTTATTCAATGCATATTTTCTTATATGCCCCTGGTATCACTATTTAAGAATTTACTACTGAAGGGTGACTGTTGATTCACTCGGAATATGTTCTCGTGAAAATGGGATTTCGATAATTATTGATTGCAGGCATTAAAAGCATTTGTAAACGCGAATGTTTTCATGTATTTTGCTTTAATCCAGTTCATAACACCTCTAGTGCTTGTGTAAAAGATGACGAAACCAATAGTTTTCGGCGAAACTACAAACAAATAATCATGAGGAACGCAATCCGATAATCGAAGTTTCTTTGATTTTTAAGATGTTTGCTGAGACTAAAACAGATCCATTTAGTTCTGAAATTAAATATGCATGTAAGTCTACTACGAAAACTATGTGTTCCATAAGGCCCGACAGTTTTCTTTAAAATCTTGCAAAGTAAAATAAAAATGTTCCCGATAAATCAAATGTAATAAAGGTAAGAGATTTTGAGTCAAACGTTTGCCTAAGCTGCATGTCTTGCTACGCCGATGTTATTTTTAGGTGTTTACCTCCTGAAAAAGTAAGAATTCATTCTTTAACAAATTGCCAATTGTTTGAAGCCTTTTTCTTTATATATTTACATGTTTGAAATAAAATTTTAAAATTCAGGCGCGCTTATTTTCTGCCAAAGTTTTAAACGGAAAGCAATCGAAGCGCGGCGGTGATTAAAAATTGTACGTAAGGGAAAAACTCCTAAAGCGAATAACAAATATAATTGTAAAGATGTTGGCATATCACGTATGACAACTGTTTTGTGGTCTTCAATTCGGGTATAACTTTCATAACTGTTACTTAAAAGGGTGCCCTTTCTTCTGCTCGTAAAGGTATCGTATTTGTTTCATGGGCATTAATACAAGGTATCTTATGAGAAAAAGCGTGTTACAGCTGAAATGTCCTGCTGAACGTACCTCATGTTTTATGCACGGTCGTTCGTGAAGGCCGCAGCATCGAGTCGTTCTTTTCATCAGTCAGATAAACGAGCCGTTCACATCACTAAATATTAAACCATATTAACACCAGTGAGAGCTCATCACAATATCAACTCTTCCGTCGCAGTTTTTAATGCCCCGAAAATCACTCCTTAAATGGCTTTTGTACCTTAAGTGGAGACTCTATTGATCCAAGAAATATTCAAACAAATTAAAACGAAAACAATTTAATGATTCTGTTAAAAGTCGAGCGCCCCCTTTCGGGAACAAGCCTTGTGAAATAAAAGAGAAAACAAAATAGCTAATAATTATCATTTGAAAAATGCTAGTAGCCTATTCTTACAACGTGATATTTTTCTGAATACAAATTAGCAGCCGCTAAGATATTCTTGAAAAAAAAAACCTTAACTGAACAAACTAGGATGAAAAAAGGGTGAAAATTCAAACCTTAAATGATTGTCCAAAATCAGCTGATGCAGAATTGAACATTTTTGCGAAGGAGACATCTTTTCGTCTCCCAGTTGTACAACTTATATCCAAAACAATGAAAAAAAAATATGAAGGCCTTAATATAAAAAACCCTACTTATTTATTATACATCGTTTGAGGGGGCCGTTTATTACTGTTTTTAATTAGCAAGCTGACTGATGTTTCCCCAAAACTCTGTTTGTGTCAAGCCAGGCTGACAAAGAAATATGCAATCTATTAGAAAAAAAATTTGTGCGTTTTAGCATGGCTCCATTTCAATTTCAATTCAGACGAAACTTAACCTTATGCCTCGACATATCCATACCGACGATAGCTTTTGTTTTCAACTTCGCAAAAACCTGTTCAGTATCATCTAAGATTAAATGAAAGTGCTCTGTAAGCAAACTCGTGAATTGACACATGATTTTTTTGGATTATGCTTAATGTTATCTGGTTTAGGGAATTTTGTGGCTGATTGTCATATCTAGGGTACGAACAGTAGTTCAGTGTTCGCTAATTTAGCAAAGAAACAAAGTAACGTTGGGATAAGAAGGCATTACAATTGAAATGATCACGCTATTACATTTGACAAGGGTGGATGATGTAATGTGTTTTAAACGTATATCATTTTTGTTTCTGGTTCAAAAGAAAAGGTTGGAAGTAAATGTGGATGAAAAGTGAAATTTACTGTCTATCATTGTAAATATTAAAAATAAAGGCAATACTGTCTTAATGAAAACATTAATGAATCCTTCTTTATCAAATGAGACAAACGGGGACGAGTTTTGACTGATATAACTAAGCCACGACTGCCACCGTCATTTTGGATCTCCGCCTGGGTAGATTTTAGTCACGTGCTAGGCAACGTATAATCAATAACAAGATAGAATTTCATTTCAGGCCTATTTATCAATTTTGTGGTATATAACTTTCGCATTTTAGTACGTAATATGTATTTTGAATCTTCAAATTGTCTTGAAACTTAAAATAAAATTGTTCTTTAAAAATTCAATGAAAATCGGTAGCTAAAATTGTTTGTTTAGGTGTTATTTGATTTTCGTGTTAACTTGTAATGTCGTCAGTCGCCGGCATCTTTTGTTGCTTCACACAGGAAAAACATACGATACGAAACGTAATGATCAATTTTGTCCTCAATCTCACGCCATAACAGAAAAAGCTTTTGAACATCTGTAAACTCCGGGCGCTTCTCAGTAAGTGATATTTTCAATGAATCTTCGGATTGTTTTCAAGTTATGAAAAACGAAGCTTGTTCTGTTATTTCAGTGTGAATCCTTGCATGCCTGCCAGTCGCTGGCGCCGCTTGTTGAAACTAAAACGAAAAAAAAAACTCTTTTAAGATTATCATTGGCTTCTTTTTCGCCCCACCACTATTCTTAGTAACAAAGGTCGCCATTTCGTTTGTTTATTGCTCGCCAAAAACTATCAAATGCACTCAAAAGCCTAAAATCGAAAAAAAAGTTTACAGGAATCGACCAATCGAGCGAGCGAGCAAGTGCCATTCCCCTCATCGTATCTTCAACTCGCTCTTGCGCATGCGCGCAATTCACGAGTTTAAAAAAAAAGGACCAAAATACCACCCTTTAATCAAAACTATAGCTAAATTCTCAAACGTGATAGGTTATCACAAGCCCAATTTGCGTTCTAATAGGACAGTGAACACGTCATGCTTGTAATTGGACGGTGTAAAAGGTCAGTTAAAAGGACAGTTAGCACGTCATGCCTGCGTAAGGGGACGAAAAGCGTCACGCGTGCGCGCTGCTGTCTCGCATTTCGCCGAGTTTACTGTTTTATTCCGAATAGCAGTCATAGTAAAGCAAGCCTAAAACGGAAGAAATCGCCAGAAACTACAACGGACACACAGGATGTGAGTAAGTGTTATTGATTTTACGTGTAAAATATTCATATTTCGAAATATTTTCTATAAAATATAAATTCCTTATAACTTGTTCAAATTTTCAACGGTTCCTCTCGTAACTTAACACCGAGTCACATAACGCGTGACGCGTTCATGAATTAATCGTTGGCTTTTTCTCGAGACGTGAGCTTGGGCCGCCTGTGAATTCAGTTGCTATCAAGTGGTTAATATGTACTGTTGGGTCGATGGTTGCGTGCCGTGAAGTTAAAATCGCAGTCAATGTTTTTAGTTTCGCAATGCGTACAGGTGTGGTTTACGAGTTATACTTCTGACGTTGAAGTACTTTGAAGAGAGTCAGAATCGGGAATAAACCTGATGATGGTTTAGTGAACAATAAACCCGGAACTGAAAATTATATTCAGCACATTTGGGCATCATATCGGGATAAAGCAGCAGGAGTTGGTTTGGGGCTGCAAAGTGAAAGCTAAATGCCATTACATGGAATTCTTGATTTACTCGATCACGATTAGTCATAATTTCTGCAAATTTCCTTCTTCAAATAACTTCTTTCTTTTACTTGTAATTTTTTTCCGAAAGAGGGATCTAGCATGCCTAGCATTTATGCAAAGAAATGACAAAAAAAGATAATAAGAATTTTCCCATGAAAAACTTTTCCTTTAACTTGACTTCTTCCACAGAATTTACAACGATCAAAATATCTCATTAAAAACCATAAAAGCCCAGTAGAAAAACAAAACAATGATAAAAAATAAACCTCCTACTATTGAACAAAAGCACCCTCACGTCTAGCGGATAAATTTGGCGAATTACTCAGCTGCACCTTGCATGTACCTTGTCAAGCGTTCTCTCAGCCAATTAGAAAGCTAAGGGTGAAAGCGAAAAAAGGCCTCTTAATTCATAAGACCTCGTTTTCATACAGAGCCTGTGAATAGCGTTGTGATCTGGAACAGTGTTTGCACAAATTTGCCGGTACCAGCGCGCGATTATTACGTCATTATCTTGGTTTCAGTTGAAACATAGCAGCTGATCTCCGCATGGTTCATTGAGCACTGTTTAACGCAAGCGGGTGGCAAAGGGTACCAAACAACCCTCCAATGGAAAGCGGATGAAAAATTATTGAAAATTGTTTTCGCTTGTTCATAGCGAAACATTTACACTTACGAGACGATTAGAAAGTGTCATAATCAGCAACAAAACCGCCCTTAAAAGCTTAAATCAAGGCGTTCTAAATCCAACTTAACGCCGTACATTTTGAAACGCTGAGTTTGGACCTCGTTCAGGACATATCAACACCATATATTTAACCACACAAGTTGAGAAATTTCGTCGAATACAATATCTGTCATGGAGATTTTTCAAGAGCATCGAGAGAATGGATGATGAAATCGACCTATCGACGGCCCATTTAGTAAATAATGTTTGCTGAGAATGCCCTTCGATACAGATTGGTTTAACTCGAGGGGTTTTTATCCCTTAGACACGAAAGGCGCTGACGAGTACTTAGTGGTCGTAAAAACACCACAGAAATCTTTCCTTGAGATCCTACAGAGTGGTTTTATAAGCTCTCATAACATCTCTAACATGTCTTGCCCGCAGCAATCTCCGAGAAAGAAGAAAGCAAAAGAAGCGAACAGCGACGACGAGGAAGATCAAGAAGAGGATATTCCAACAACTTACGAATTGTGGCAAGACTTCCTACATAGTCTGACCCTTCACGGGTTTCGTTTCATATTTGAAGAAGGACCCAAAATTCGTCGTATTTTCTGGCTCCTCATTTTGATTCTTGCTGTTATGATGCTACTTCTGCAAGGCAAGAAAAGCATACAAAAATTCTTCGATCGCCCGACAACTACGACAGTGCAAGTGGAGTTTTTGGATCAGATTGTATTTCCTGCTGTTTCCATCTGCAACTTTAATCTGTTTCCATATTACCTCATAAATGGCACCATAGGAGAAAAGGTAATGAGACTCCTTTAAGACTCAAGCTTATTTTTTATTTTGCTAATTAATTCAGAATTTGGTAGTTTGCTCCAATCTAAGTCTTCATATGTCAACATGCAAATTACCATTACTGGTATTTGTGGACTCCTCCAGGAGTTTTACGAGAATTTGTTACAGCACTGACAGACCCTTACAGTGTTGGGAATTTTCTTTGAAGATTCATTTTTCATCTCATGTCATAACTGCAAGAAACATTTCAAGGATACTCTAAAGTGTGATTATTCTAAGAGGAAAAAAAGCTCAGTCAGCAGGTACCATATTAAGTTTGATTTTTTGTTTGAAGGACAGAAAGCCACTAGTTCAAACAGCATAAATATATGTTATTCACCAGCCGGATGGTACGTATTGGAAGAAACTGTGCCCGAGGTCTTCAATACCTCCCGCGGCCGTAGGCAGAGGGCGGTACTCAGGACTGAAGGCACAGTTTTTCCAAACATAGACAGACCGAGGCGAGTGAAAAACATTTTTTTTTTCAAAATGCATGCCAAAACAGCTCGAATGATTTAGGGCTATAATTCCTTGACAATACGGGAATATCCTCCATAAACTGGGAGCAGTTTATAAAGAAAACAGAGGTTTTTAAAATTATCGAGAGAGGCTTCAGCGAAACATATTTATTTGCGTATAAATGGTACAGGTAATTTAAACGGCTCCCAAGCAAACTTTGAAACATTTTTTCATAAGTATCTGTCACGATCTGACACCTGTCAGTTAGAGAGGGAAAAAAAGCGCATGTTCCCTTTTGAACGAACAACACTGGTATGGCAACTGTCTATCACGGCGATTATTCTTATGAAACACTTGGCTATCAGAACGGAAAGTATTCTTATTTCCAACAACGATTGATCTTTGAAGATTTGCCTCTCTTTGATTTTAAATGTCAGGGAAAGTAAAGTTTTAGTAAATTCAATTGCATGTTTTGAGGCTGTGATAGTCTGCTTGCTTGTAAGCTGCAATGGCTCTTATCTTTCTTCCACAGAAAAACTTAAGTCAAATGAGACGCCTTTTCTAGCTAGACATGGGGGGATTTAACGCGACTTTTACACAACAAAATCCTTCGGTTTCTGTCGCAGAAATGTCCAAATTCAAGACACCTACGAAAAAAAAATACCGAACGTGTATTTCTAGTGAAACTTAAAATTCGTCCAACGTTTTACAACGAACAAATTGTTTTGGAGAGTTAATTATCAATTATTTATCGGTTAAAGGTCGTGACAGAAGTCTTCGCTTAAAAAAAGCTGCCCAGCCGGCAAAACAGCATGCATTTATGTAAAAATTGCAACGAAGCTAACGATGTTCTCCAAAGCGACTAAAGCAAATGACTTGGTTTTGTCAACTGAGTTGATAATGCAAATGAGCCACCGTAAAGAGTTCTAAAGCTAATGTTTCGAGCGTTGGCCCTTCGTCAGAGCGAAACACGAAACAGCAAATAATTCTTAAATGATCCACTTACCTCTTGCTAAATGTTTCGGTCGTAGCTCACCATATGAAATTTCTGACATGACAAATCCACTCGCTTGCAGACGCAACGGACATTTTTATCCGTTATTGTGACCTCTGTCCACTCGCAAGCGATTCGTAGACTAAATATAAATTGTTGAAGTTTACGGATAAATTTCTGGTTTCGGTAATGGGGAAGCAGCCAAAACTATTATGGACCTTATGATCCAACAGCAGCCAGCGGCTACGATGGTGATCGAGATTTGGGAGAAATAGGAAGAGCTCACCGTCGAAAGGTGCGAAAAATAACATTAAGACTGACTGCTTCAAAAGAGACTTCGGTTTTAACCCCTGGGGGACGAACTACGGCCACAGCCGTAGAAAATTACATCACCCTATTTTTGTTGCTATTTAAAGCAAGCCCGTGGGGAACTGAGGCTATTTATGCATTAAACCGCTGGATAACAAAATGAGGCTCATTTTCAGCGAAAAGAGCTCTTCGAAACATCGAAATACGAATTTTCCGGAATTTTTTACTCCAGTTGTTGCCGATATCGCGTCTGCCATTTAAATATGGCGTCGCCAAAACATTAGTAAGACATCTGTTTGCGAAAAAGATCGAAATGGCGGCTGCAGAATCGATGGGATTAACTTTTGTGGACGAAGATGACTTGCCTGTAGCATTTCTGCGAATCGCCCACGTGGATTCTGACCATGAAGCGCCTTCCGATGTCGATAGCAGCGATGAAGAGGAAAATAGCGATGAAGAGGAAGGGGAAAGTGATGGAGAAATTGAAAACAGCGATGACGAGGAGCAAAACTACTCCAATATGAGATGGACATCTACTATACAACCCCCAGAAGGCATAAATTTTCGCGAAGAGGTTGGTTTGAGGGTAGAAATGGACAATAACAGTAATTGTTTAGATTACTTCCAACTTCTGTTTACTGACGATGTTTATCAGCTGATTATTCGCGAGACCAAACGGTTTGAGCATCAAAAACGGCAGCTTGAGGACAATTCCCTGGGTGATCTCCACGATTTTACCCTTCCAGAGCTAAAGGCTTGGCTTGGGCTCACATTGGCAATGGGTCTTGTCAAAAAAAGCAATTTGAAAGCTTACTGGTCAACTGATTCGGTCACCAAAACTCCACTGTTTTCTAGCACCATGTCAAGAGACCGCTACCTTCACATTCTGAGATATCTCCACTTTGTAAATAATTGCAATGCCCCAGACCAGACAGATCCCAACAGGGATAAACTGTGGAAAATTAGACCATTTTTAGATGCTCTTGTGCCCAGATTTACAGCTGTATATGCACCTTCTCAGAATTTATCTCTTGATGAGACACTGATCAAATTCAAGGGCCGTGTTCACTTCAGACAATTTTTGCCTTTGAAGAGAAGCAGATTTGGGATCAAAGGTTTTGTGATAGCAGATTCAGCATCTGGCTATGTACTTGGTACTTCTATTTACACTGGAAAAGAGGGTCCAGCAGCAAGCAAGGATTTGGCTAAGCGAGTTGTTCTAAAGCTAACAGAGCCTTATTTCAACAAAGGTTACAAATTGTTTGTTGACAACTGGTATACCAGTGTACCTCTCTTTCTAGAACTGGAAAAAAAGGGAATTAGAGCCTGTGGAACAGTGAGGGGAAATAGAAAGTACCTACCTCAGGACATTGTTGACCAGCAATGCGAGCAGGTCAAAAGCCTTGTCAGGGGAGAATCGCTTTTCCGTCAAAGTGGCAACCTCATCTGTGTGACATGGAAGGACCGAAAGCTGGTACATTTACTCTCAACTCTCCCTGAGGGTTTGGGAATTGGACAGATAGAGAGAAGGGTGAAAACACGAGGACAATGGCAAAGGCAGAACATTGCACAGCCACAGTTGATTAACCTGTACAACTCCCATATGGGAGGAGTTGATTTGGGTGATCAACGCATAGCAACTTGCTGCAGGCTTATGAAAGGAAATATTTGGTATTACAAAATTTTCTTTCATATGCTTGAAGTTGCTGTGTTGAATGCCCACATCATGTATAGAAGAGCTGGCCATCCTAGAGTCACCCTTGTCAAATTCAAAGAGAATCTTGTGCGGGAACTGATAGGAGGAAATTCTTTTCGACGGAACAACTTTTCTGGAGGCAATGTAGCAGTACAGGATGTCCGCTTTGACCGCCAGCAGTTTCACCATCCTGTGGCAACTGATACTCACAGAAACTGTAAAATACATATTCAACGAGTGGAAACAGTCTATGAGTGCTCGGTTTGCCAAGTGCGTATGTGTCCAGCACCTTGCTTTGAGCGCTACCACACACTGCAGAGTTATCTTTTTGATGACCCCAGTAGAAATGGTCCCAAGAGACTCAAAGACAGTCATGGCAGACCAAGAAATGGTCCAGGCAGACCACTTCAAAGGAGATCAAGATGATTTTATGTTTCCTCTGATCAAAACATTAATTTACTTATCGAGGTTTAAGGTTGATTCAAGTGAACACTAAAATGATTTTGAGACTACTGACTGACATCAAGTTTGCAACTAAATATGGTTAAAAGAAGAACAGTAGTGTTTTATTTTGTGCTAGGAAAAGTGTTCTGTGTATATAGAACTTGATATTGTGTACAGTTATTGTGTTGACAAAGTTTTCACTTCAGTTCTGTTCTCTAATTTGAAGACGGTTGGGGAAAAAATCTGTTTTATTACCTTTCTGGATTTTTCATATTTTTTCTGTAAGACACATGTATTAGTTCATTGCACCAAATGAAAGTGCAAAATCTCCTCTTTCTAAAAATGTTAGTTTTATTGTTTTCTGCCATATTAAAAAAATTTGGTGGCCTAATTAGTAATGTCATGTCACCAATTGAGTCAAAAAACCCCCACCCCCTCAGTCCCCTAGGGGTTAAACGAAAATAGGGCATCTTTTAGAAGGATAAGTAATTTTCTCTGCAATGTAAACACCTCCCAAACCCAGATTTTCCTTTCGACTGCTGTAAAGGGTTCGACTTCATTGAGAAGGACGACAGCGAGGGTTTGGTTGACTTTCCTTGCTCTTTCTTAAAAAAATTTAAAAATCTAGCTTCAACAAACTTTTCCTTAAACAAACCCGAGTGAACTACGTATAAATTGGATTTCTGGTTAAGTTTTAAGGTTCATCAAGAAGGGAGTAAAATTGAAAATAATTTACCAACCTGATTTCTCTGTACTCGTGTCCATTTGTTTGCAGTGTGCAATCTTTCGGAGCCGTTTAAGCAAGAGTTTAAAACTTCCGTCGGTTTTTTACTTGTAAATGAGTTCAATAACCATTTGCATTTACCACAAGTTAGGAAAAATCTTAGCAGTTCATCAGGTGTTAAAATATTCCATACGTTCCTTTAAAATGGCCTTTGAACAAGAGAAAATTACTCACGTTTTATAGTAAACGGCAAACCCTTCACTCCGACGTCGCAGACAACACAGCTATGGCGGGAAACTTCGCGCGACGGCTACTGGAAATGCGTGAGCATACATTCTCAACTTCCGCTTGTCGTTGTAGATATTTGCAGACGTTGTGTGAGCTTGAGAATTCAAAGAAGTTTAGACAGGTTTCCTTACGAGTGATCCAATTCAGGCGCCTTTTGATCTGCATACACATTTATATGTTGGCGTTCATAAACACGAATTTGATGATACAGTTTTTCATTACCATTGAAAGGAGCCCGGTAGTCTTTCATGAAGATTTAAGCGGTTTCCTAAAAATTAAGTGCAAGTTGTGTGTCGCAGTGTTTGCCGTTACATAACTTTCTTTTCTAGAACTTTTTACACAAATCTCTGTTTCCGAAATCAAAGCCGTCCTTGTTAGGCATGAAAACGATATAAGAAGTTTCAACATTCCGGTCTTAATCTTTTTTTAATTTTTTTTTTTTCAAAGAAACAAAATGCGCGCTAAAATTCTTAGAAAACGCTTCCAACCAAGTAATAAAATTAATTCGATTGACCAAAGTAATTGTCGCGACAGCATTTCATGACTTTATTCTTTCCTTTGCAGGTTATGTCCATTCTTGCACCTCAAAAATACATCGACAACAAGGAAGAAGTGCTGTTCGCACGTTCACCGATTCCGAACTTTCTTAATTATCTTCGTCGCCGTCGCCGTCGCCGCGAAAAGGACACGAAAAAAGGCGACGACGACGATGACGTCGATGTTCTCGACGACACGTCGATCGATATAGACGATTCTTTTGACTTTGCTCAGTTCGTGAGGACTCATGGGCATCGGATTGATCACATGATCAAGAAATGTAGATGGAAATCACAGCCTTGTGGACCAGAGAATTTCACTGCCGTGATAACTGAATTTGGTCTTTGTTACACGTTTAACTCAGGTGGGAAAGCTGAAATTTAGTAACTAGAATGTTTTGCAAAATGTATTTATTAAGATTTGCCTAACTTGGCTTCTAAAGAAATTTTAGGTATTGAGACAGGATTCGATTAATTGTACTTGACTGAGCTTAGTAAAAAAAAATCCCTTGCGAAGAGTTCTGATTGGTTCCTGGTGACACCTCTCCTCTACGCTATTTGACCGATGTGATTCTACACTTACTAAATCTTAAACTGGTTTGTACACTTACATCATCTTAAACTGGTTTGACAGGTTTGAAAGGTCACCCTCTTCTAAAGGTGCAGCGTGCTGGAGTAGACTATGCCCTCAGACTGTCTCTGAGCGTTCAGCAAGATCAATATTATGGGTCACTCAGAGATTCGTCTGGGTTCAAGGTCATGGTGCATGATCAAGAGGAACCACCGCTGATCAATGAGCTTGGTTTTGCAATTCAGCCAGGAACTCATACATTCTGTGGTCTCAGGAAGGAAGTGGTATGCAAAACATGCTGACAAGTAATTTACTTCGAAGGGGAGGGGGGTGCTTGCTACTAATAGACTGATATGCCATTGGGTGGGGTTTTCACCACCCCTTTGACTATAATGGAAGATTCGCCTGCAAAAATTTTTTACCACGAGTGACTAAGATGGGATCTCTAATTGACCACATAAAAGTTTATAATGGGAAGGGATTCTGGGAGGCCTGTGGCACATATCTATCTATTATTTAGAATGTTTTGTCATTTAGACTACATGTATTTCTCAGTAATCAGTTTCATGGTAAAAGCTCCATCCAGGAGGTAATCTTCGGTTGCAAGATAAGTATCCCCTTAAAAGAGGTACTTCTTACAATGGAAAGATACAGAGATTAGTAGAACATTTCAGAATTTGGATGTTTTCCCTGGATATAAATTTACGCTGCTCATTGGTCAGAGCTGCTCACTTGCGAAATGGGGGTATTGTTTCTGTTTGCCTTTGAAAGTATTGTTCAGCGACGTCATCACGGTCACAGGGGCAGTTTGTGATGTCCAACGGTGTTTGACAAAGAAACCAATGCAGCGAAATTCTGCACACGGGTGCGCAAGGCTGTGCAAAGTATATGGCGGCGGAGTGACCATTACAGCAGTTGAAAACTTGAAATTAAGAACTCTTCACCACGTATAGTGTTAAATAGCTTGTCTAGCCTGAAGTGAGTAGGGGGAAAAGTGTTGGAAACTGGATCTTAAACCTGCGAATACTATTGTCTAAAAAAGCTAACATGAAAGTTTTGGAAAAGCAGGCTTGCCATGTTATGCTTAGAGACCAGTTATCATTTATCGATTTTCGGGGAGATCACATGGTTCTCTGGTTGAACAGAAGTGGGATCATTTGTCGCCAAATTTTCGTGCAAACGAGGCTCGTTGGTGAAGTGTATCACGTGACCGTGCATAAGAGCTTTTAAACTTGACGTTGTCATGTGCACAAACTTTTGACAGCTGTGTTTTTTTAAGTACACTATCATAACAGCTCGATCCTTATAGCTAACTCCTAATGGTGTTTTGGAAGCCAATATTCTGCTGAATGGTCTCGACTGTGGAAAATGACTTAAAAAGTGGTATGTGCATGGACAAGCGTTACATACATATCATATTTTCGTTTCAGATGCACAATCTTCCGCGCCCATTTAAAACAGCATGTGAAGACAAACATTTAGCCGGCTTTAAAAAGTACACAAAGTCGGCTTGTCTACTGAAGTGCCGTGCTGACTACATCATCGGCATGTGTAAATGCAGATCTTACGATTTGGAAGGTAAGGTAACTTTTATTCTAGTATTTCATGCTTTGGGAAGGAATCCTAGTTATTTCTTAGCTTCAGTAACAAAATATTACACACTACAAGGGAGACACGAGTTCGAATCCGTTCGAGGCTTGAAATTTGTTCAAGCTTCTTTCCTGCAATTGCTTATATTTCAGCTTACCTGCGAGAATTATTACTTTACTTCTTTTTCATCTGCAGGTCGAATGAAATATATATAACTAGAAATCCTAGAGATTGTCCACTTCTTAGCCTGACATTTCAATAATAACTGAATTTGTTCTGAAAACAATCATCATTAATTTTCTTAAGTCCAAATATTGCATTCAGGAAATATGAGGCGCAAAGTGTAGAATAATCAACTGAAGATTTTGGACTAAAAACATTTGTGAAAAAGGGTCTTAAGTGGGTGCTTGAAAAATTTCCTATTTCTCTATAACGGTGTTCGCTGCTTTCATCACTTCAAAATAATGGAAATGTGGTGAAATAGCTCTGTTTACCGACCAGCTTTTGCTTTATTGATTTTTCTTACAGGCGAAGCTCCACCATGTTTACCGCAACAGGTGAAGAACTGCGTTTGGCCCGCAATGGGTATGTTTTTCAAAATAAGTCGATCTGGATTGAAGAAAACAACACTGAAAAAAAGACATCTTCAACGCATGCTCAGTCTTGGTCGACGCAATGATTACAGTCACAAATAATGACCTAATCATATTCCTAGAAGTGTTATGATCTGTAGTCTAATGGATTCATATCCGAGGCTTTGGAAAACTACTCGCAAATGTAGAGGTCATCGTAAAATATCTTGAGCTGTATAGCACAGGAATCATGAAGTTGATTTACCAGGAAACAAGAAATAAATGTGTCTAAATACGATACGAGCGTTATCATAAGAATCATTTGTCGATCAATTTCTAGAAATATTCCGAAATGAAAGCAACAACTGCGAGTGCCCAGTCCCCTGTGAGATCACAAAATATCAAGTGCAACTGAGCTATGCCCAGACCCCAGCGAAACATTTCTCCGAAGTTCTGGCGAAAAGAAAACACGTAAGGAAGGACGTCATGAGGCATTACTTGAGGTGAGTTCAAGCTTTGGCGGTGAGGGACCTGAGCATGTTTCGAGTGAGTTTTCAGTGCCTGGGGTCTCTACTGAAGTTTGGATCCCGTTTAAGAAATAAGTTGTTCACAAGGGTAAGGATAACCCGCTCGAGAGCTCTGGATACTCTGTTCTAGATAAGGGGTCCCAAAGATATGTTCTTGCTGAGTGGCATAACCCTGTGTGATTATTTTCCTTCGGGGAGAACAGCAAACGGGATACCAAGAAATACCTTTGTTCGACGAGTTTCTTATGGACATGTAAGCACCGTTATCAGTTCCTCGACAGCTTCTTGTTGAACCATCAAAATTCCTAATTTAAGTTTGAGCGAGCAGATTTTTTGCTCCCAAACAGGAAGAAAACAAAATTAAAAATTGTACGTTATGAAAAAGTAGACATTGGTAGCCGGTTGCCTAATTTCTTTTAACTTACTGTATTACTGAATACGCTAAGAGAGTTTATCTGAATTACCCTAGACTTTGACAGTCACTGTTATGATTTAAAGAGGCTTATAAAAGTTGGATATTTTAACAGGGACAACTTCCTCGAGTTGGATGTGTACTTTGAAGAGATGCAGGTGACGCTAATAACTCAGAGGCCAGCGTACGACCAGGAGAGCTTGTTTGGTGAGTTTGCTGACAGCTAAAACGAACGCACATCCTTATAAGAACTCGCGAGGGGTACAGTGTCAACAAAAACAAGAACACTGTTCGTTTAAACAAAATGAGTTGAGATGAGGGTTCAAATATACACAGATTTTGGAAGATTTCCTTGTTATTCTTTGCGTAATCCAGACATTGGGCGTTCACTGAAGAACCTAGACTGCTCTACGTACATTCGAAATGTCTCTTCGTCTGACAGTAACTTTATAATGAACAGCCCTTCAAACATCATCGTTGGTGCAACACTTTTTTGTCTTAAAAGCCTTAAATATCCAAGCTCTTCGATTACAATTAACCTAAAGAGCTTTCCATTTTTTGTGTCTTCAGGTGACATCGGTGGTCAAGTTGGGCTGTTTCTTGGCGCTAGCATTCTAACAGTGTTGGAATTTGGAGATCTACTGGCGAGGATTATAGTCAACAAAATCAAAAGAAATCAACGACGGCATGCTCGGACAGTTTGACTAAGTCAAAAGTGGTTTGATTTTGCTTGAAAGAGAGGAAATTTCACCTGATAAGTATTTTCGATTCACTTAAATGGCCGAGCAGTTTTGGATTCCTAGTCTCGTTACAATTTTCTCAAGCCTCGGAAAATAACCAATATTTGATAACCAGCAGTAGATTGACTGAGTACTTGAAATGCTGCTAACAAGCGGTTCCCCATAAAGAGTTTTATTTTCATTTTCGATTATCCACAGGGAAAGCAAGTCCTCGGTTAAACTGTAATGGTAGCTTAGCTTTCAAACAAAACACCTCTTTCGTGTTTAGTGATGTAAAGGAGGTTTCATATCCCATAAAGTTATAGAGGAGAGATACCTGTTTGTTCATACGTAAAATAAATGTTAATAAGAGTTTCAAGGCTTTGGAACTAAGGATGGAGTATCCCCGCACGAATTTTGTCAGGTACCTCATTCCCGGATGCTTAATCAAGAAAAAGTTGATGAAAAGATTTAGCTTTTGTTATTTTTACATCTTGCAGCTCAAAGTTGTTACTAATGCGCGTTCAGAAGAGACTCGCTTGTCAAAATACTCGGTTTCTTATAGAAACCCTCAGACATTTTTTTACTATTTCAACCCATGTGAGCGTTAGAATAATTTGAATGAAGTCAGGAACAAGTTTTACCACTTACTGGAAAGTTTCATTTGTGCATGAGCCACCATTAGAAATATTTCCTTGAATTTTGGCATTTCTTTTCAGTGTCCAGGAGTCTTAGATAAAATAGTTTTGTAGAGAAAAATTAACGCTTTGTTACATTACATACCTGCACGACCTACTGTGCATAATAAATGAACAGCGAAAAGACAAATCGTAGAAGAATTCATTTTATTCTAAAATGTCAAATTTATTGGAACCCCCACAAAGAACTACTGGTCCATTCATTACTTACACTTCTTTACAATGACTACCATGATTTCCGTCCTGACGTTAAGTCACTCCCGTAAACCAGAGTGTAATTTGCCAAATGAAGCAACTTTGTGGGCGGAAGTATCAACCATGGAAAATAATAACAGATCAATCCTGAAAATTACACAACCTTCTCCGTTAAGATCAATTCTCCTCTTAACTCATAATACTATAGTAATCGATTTTTCCCCACAACCATTGAACCGATCTGTCATGTCGTTCATGACTCATGTTTTTAAGAGATTTTTCCATCACTGATTTCTTACATATTTCTAAATATCGAAGTATTGAGATCAATATTAAGCTGGTCGCTTTTTATATTGAAATCGCTCAAGCGAATAGTATAATATTCAATTTCACTAATTTATCTTACATTTGGAATACCTATTTTGTTTAAATATACTCTGCACACAAAAATAATTCTTGATATATAAAATCTTTGGAAAGAAAATTGTATTGCTTATTTCATCTCCTAGAGGAACTGCGATACACCTGACTTGACATTTTGCAAGACATGTCACAGTACAATGGAAAAAAAATCCGTCTGTCCCCAAATTCATTAGAAATCTTCAATTGTTTTATGAAACCATGTTATCTGCTGTTTACTGTAAACTTATATTAGAATATCTATCTTTAGAATGTAATATTATTATTGTTATCATTTTCATCCTAATCATCATCATCATCATCATCATCATCGCCGTGTCGTCGTCTTCGTATCATAATGTCGTCGCCGTCGTCTCATCATAACGGTCGTCATCGATAATTATCATTATTATCATAATTCTTGTTGTAAATATCATCATTATTACTGTGATCATGCGCGCCCTATTTACAGTCTGCATGTGTCTAGTTTTCCTCAAAAAAAAGATAAAAGAAATGCAACAAAGCTCCGTCGATAACCAAAACCCATGCTGCCAATGACCCTTCATTAAAAATAAATATATTATTCTACAGATTCTATGCCCTCCCCTTAAACTTATCCTTGAACCCAAAAAAATGAATAATAGTTGACTTAATTTGATGCTAAAGCAGATGATACTTGCCAAAGAAAATGAGATATACCGAGTAATCTTGACAGCTTCAGTCTGTCAACGAGCGAAAATTAGGCGATTCCTACATCAGCTAACTACCCAATCAATAAATACCCTTCTGGGCGTACAACGGATAAAAGCCGAAATCAAGCTGCCTACATATGAACAACCGACGTCGACTTGCTATCTCGACTCAGCCTCCTCGCTTGATCTCTTGGCCTCGTTTATGACGTTCGCTGCATTCTGTGCAATCTTAACGGTGCCACATCTTACCAGGGGGTTGTCGGCAGGATTAGGGGAGGGGAGAGACAGGCGTTTCCCACCCGATATTCGCATCAACAATTCCAGATAATGTTCTTCGTCTGAAAGAAAAACCATCGCAACTGTGAGTGAACTTCACAAACAATGTCGCTATGAACTTAAGAAAACCCTCCACATCAGAAGATCCATTTCGTGGATCTCCATTCCTAATCAGATTTATCGGTTATTCATTCACCTATAGGTTGATCACATACCTTGATCTCTGTGCCTGGCTTTGTACAAGTTGACAAGTTGAAATGCAAGCAACACGTGATCAGCTGATGGTAAACCAACCTTCATGATGTACACACGCTGACTCGTTACCAAGGCATTTAGTTTGTCTTTCGGATCCTTGTAACGAAGCCTCAAGCAGCTAATAAATCTGTTGGAGAGAGAGAAAAGCTGTGAACCGACAAAGGTCAAAGAATCTTAAAAGACTTTGTTGGCGCAAAGGTATGGCTAGGTAAATTGAAAGTTTTCATTTGAGGAAACCGCACCATGAGAGTAATCCCTTCTCATTTTGCAACTTGGGTTGCGAGGTTACACAAGCACCCTCAAAACAACAAAAAAAGACAAATAAACAACAAACAAAACAAAAATGTTCAACCTGGAAGTGATTGGTCGAAACAAAAGTTGTCAGTTGTGTACTTTTACATGTTTTCTGTTTATTTTTTATATCCTACGATTAATTCTCGTCTTACTTTTCTTTCTTATCGACTTCACCAAACAAGCTAACTGTCAGCCTCTCTAAGAACTCTTGCCCTTTTAGTTTTCTTTGGGCATCTTTCGGCACCATGTCCCACCCTTCCACTGACGGAATGCAGGACAAGCTGCTCTCCTCACTTTCTGAAGAATCATGGTCCTCGTTATATTCAATCGGTATCAGTCTCCTCGCTGCCGGTACTCTCTGTTGAGTATCTGCAGACGAGGCTGTCGAAGAATTGGAGACCTAGAGCAAATGCGTGAAGAAAAGAATGACGTTTGAAAACTTCTTTGTCGCCCCATTATGTAACGCAAAACTAATTTTCAGTTACAGGAATTGGGTCCTGATCTCAAGTAATCCACGACGTCACGCCACGTCAAAAACGTCACGTCATTCTGTGAACCAGGCTCTTAACCTGCTACCGCTTTTGACCAAACACCAAAACGAGGCAACATTCGTCAGATCAAGAGCACATCATAAATAATTAACAAGCTACCTGCGATTTTCCTTGACCCGTATCTTTTGAAGGACTGTAGAGGAAGCTCGTTAACGTCCCAACAACACCACCTATAGATTTCATCGATGAGCTGGAGCGGCTCCCAGATGAGGAGCTACTTAAAGTGGGACTGTTCGATTGTGACTGAGAGATGCACGCACCCCATGAATCCGCGAACTGCAGAACAAACGTGAATGATAATGAGACAACGGAAACGAGAGTGACATATTTGATGGCAGGGTGGCGTGATATTTCGTAATTTTGCGCAAGTGTTTACGGGTTATGCGACTGCAAATTTCAATTCCAGGGTTGCTTTGATTCTGTTTCACTTCACTCTGTGATTGGTGGAGAAATCTCAAACAACCCTCTATACCAGTAAAATGCAATTCTAAACCAACACTATCGAAATAAGCTGTGTATTTGTGACTTAAAGGGGGTTTTTGCTGCCGTCTACCACTTCTTTTTTTAAGAAAACTTAGACGAAAAAACAAAAACGAATGCGCCACAACATGGCAAATGTATGGAATCGTGTGAACCTTCGCTTCTGTATACAGTAAAGACATGACAATATTTCACAGGTCGTAATCAGACATTTTGCATAGGTTTCCAAACAATTTACTGGTTTTTGTTTTGCATCTGATTGGTTAGAGAGTGGCGCGTATTTTCTAAACCAATCATGGAGCAGAGTAAAGCCAAACCGAAGCAACCTTGAACACTTTTCGACATTCACGATGAAAACTGCCTTAAAAGGATTTACGAAACTATCAAATACAACACGTTGCACTTGAACACTGTTGTACAGTTATAACACGCACCTTGTAGTAGGATTCAGCCAGTCCACCTCTCACGTGTCTGACGAAGCCAAAGTAGTCACCAGTCTCCCTCAGATCGGCCAGTCCATCGGAAATATCGCCTTGCAAGCTGGAGAGGTTACCAAGGAGATGGAGCGAGCCAAGAAGAGAGGTGGATTGACGACCAATCTCCTGTAAAGAAATGGCAGAGCTGGTTACCTTTCATAAGCAGCATCATTCTAAAGCACGTCGCTTGCGGACTGGACCAATACTATCCCCGATGCTAATCTTTAGCCTCCCGCACTCCCCCCAATCCGCCTCTCCCCACCATCAACTTTTCGCCCACTTTCCTTGAAAGTTTGTAACCATCCACTCTCAATTCGGGTAAAGAAAGGCAGGACACTGTAAGATGTGATGGTCTTTAACGAGATTAAAACATGATGTGCTTTGAACATCCCACCTCCTACAAGTCAAGTAGTCCTTCTCTAATCGATTTCTTCATTGTTAACCTCAATTAATGTTTTTTTAAAAATCATTATTGCTGAAATAATGAAAGAATAAAAGGAAAAATTCAATAAAATTGGACACCTGGGGATTGCTGCCCACTGCCAGACAGTCCCTTATTTCTCCTTGTTTGTTTGTTTTTTCTTACTACTTCGATGCTCTTGGCGAATGGCACCTTATGCGTTGACTACTGGTCTCAGGTAAGTCGCAATCAGTGTTGTTACACTTGTCTTAAGTGTTCTGCTTGAATATTGCACCGTTCATAGGATTATCGGAAAATTAGCTCACCTTCAAATAATGTCTCCTGAAGTCTCGACCAAGGGCAACCGCTGTCTTGTAAGTAATACCCGTTCGTAAAAATTCTCCTGAAAAAAAAAAAAGAAAAGAAACGAAAGAGTTGACTGGATTGGATCGTTGAATGGAAACCGCTAAAAGAACTATTCAAATTTCAATCCATCCTTAAAAATTTACATTTACATGGGATGTGGCTTCTTCAATATCGATAATTACAAAAAGGCACATCTTAGCTCAGTTAGGTTTTTAGATGTGTGCCCTTAGATTCCTCCGACATAACTCTAAGATTAAAACTCCACGGTGCATGAAAAATTCCCGCATTCATAAAAAAACACAGCGCGAATAAGATCGTTAATTAGCAGTCCAGGTGATTTCAAATGATGGAACATTACATTCAAATCTGAACAACAGGTGAGATATCACAAGGCCGGGCGAAGATTCAAATTTTTAATTTTCCCCGCTAAAAGTACATAACATATGACAGAGAACAAAAGAAATCCACTATGACTTTTTTCATTCCTTATCCCTTTCACTCTTGTTGGTGATCAACATCTAATTTCTCCTTTCAATATCACCCCTCAATCACACACTAAGGTCACGAGAAAAGAGGAAATGATCACCAACTAAAGCAGCTCTTGATTGTTAAACAAATTCTCCTTTCTAGCACCCAAGGAAATGTATAGAGAACAGTATGGAGAAAATGCATACTGATGTTAGGACAATAAGGATTAAAGATCTATGTCAGAGTAATTATTGTTCTTATTTAAGATAAGAAATGAAATCTTACTTACCAAATTGCATGCTGGCATTCTCCATCAATGGTGGAAAACCAGCAGGAATCTCCAGCTTTGTTTTCAAACTCTGAAGATCATCTGAAAGCTCGACGGCGGGATTACAAGTCACCACAACTCGAAACGGTTCCACATGTAGCTTTTCGAAATAAAACGGCTTTGCTGTGACAGCAGTGGACGGACTTTCGCTCGAGTTTTCTTGTTGTGCTTTTGTGTCTTCGCCCCACAACTGGGTCTTGGTTTTGATGCCAGCAAATTTCAGAAGTTTCAGAATGAGTTTCTCTTGAAATGTGACTGTCGATTCGCCCAGTTCCAAGCGAAGTTTCTTTTGCGAGGAGAAAACGTGTAAATACCGTATTTTCTCGAATAAGTGCCAACGCTATTATAGGCACCATCCCCCGAAGAAGCGCCTACCTCCTAAGCCAAAATGTAATACAAGCGCCCTTTTCGAAAAAGAAGCCCCTCCTCCCTCACTTTCCTAAATAGTAGGGATACAAGGAAAACCTTCTTTCATTGCCACCTTATTAGTGAATTTTTGAGCTTAAACTTTAGTGTAATAATGCAAAACGAGCGTCCTTCTCGAAAATGCAGCCCTTCATTTTCCTAAATAGTAAGGATACAACAAAAATTTTCTTTTAAAGCCACTCTATTCATAACTTTTTACGCTTCAACTTCAGCGGTATCAGTTCAGAAGAATAACTGGCGTCCTCCTCGATTAAGCGCCAATCGCCCGAGAAATAACAAGAGACATCCAAATTTTAGCTGTCTAGATAATCAAATTGATTTCAAACAGTAGTTTACAAAAGTCTTCGACTCAAATTATTGATCTGTCCAAGAGATTCACTTCTCCACCACACAGCGGGTCATGTAGACATCCAGTTGAGACGTACCTTTACAACTACTCTCCCCGCTTCATTCTTCGCATCCTGCAGGAATGAAAACCGCAGAAGAGACTGGGAACTCATACCGTTGGAACGCTCTTGTTGAAAAGCAATGATTTTATCCGCGCAATCCTCTACCTGTTGACAGTCACAATTATGGGTCAATGAAAAAGATTATATTTTATTTTTTTAGACACGAGAAAGCTAGAGGAATCGGTATACAAACACTAAAACAAAAGAAGTAACAAAAGTCGATCAGAACTCAGGGAGACAAGGATATATTTTTCAGAGAAAAGATGAAGGCAAAGGAAAATCCTGTTAATAATCAAAAACCGCAAGAAAACTCGAATAACCCAACACATTCTCTTAACCCTTCATCCTAACATCAGAATCCGTATTCTCCAAACTCCACTCGATACATTCCCTATGGTACTGAGTAGGAGAATTCGTATCACAATCAAGAGCTTCTTGGGTTGGCGACCATTTCCTTTATTCTCATAATCCAAGTGAATGATTCTGCAGTATTACTCTAAGGGGAAATTAGATCCTCGTCACACTGAGGGTTTAAATGATTACGAGGGTATTATCTTAGGCGAAAAATTGCTATTTTATGGTTCAACTATTTGAAAATGGCTGAAGTATAAAAGCGATCCTCTGGATCTTATTCGTTGACTCTGGTGCACTCAGAGAGAACCTTACAATAAGCACTATGACAAGGTCTTAAAACCGTCTACACCCTAACATCAGTATGCATATTCTCCGTACTGTTCTCTATACATTTCCTAAGGTGCTGACGATGAGAAGTTGTTTAACAATCAAGAGCTTCATTAGTTTTTGATCATTTCTTTTATTCTCGTGACCTAAATGTTTGATTCAGGGGTGATATTGTGAGAAGAAATTAGATGCTGGTCACTTAAAGGGTTAACAGACTTACCTCAAGGTCTTTCACACTCAGTTCCACGGTTACATGGTGCTGATCCCGGTTAAAATCAAGCTAAAGGAGGGAGACAAAGACAAAAGTAAAGATTTCGTTATGCCCTCAGACAAAACAAACAAGTCCTAAAAAATGTCCGCACACATGAGGTCTTAATTAAAACAAACATGATTTCGTTGTTGTTGTTTTTTTAATCTCAGAATCATGCATTACGTTTACATAAAAAAGCGGAGTCGAGTTCAAACACATGCATTTTGAAGGACCTTCAACTTTTAAATGTCAAATGTTCTTAATAGTTCTCTGAATCCAAAACACTTCGGTGGAATATCAAACACAGAAATGAGGACTCCTCCACCTCAGCTTTGAGTTACTTCACGAAGTTTTTTCCAAATTTCTCTAGTTTGATTAAAACTAAAGCAGACCTGTCATTTCAAGGAAACTGCTTTCTTTGTAAGACAGTATACAATCAGAGTTTGTTTTTCGCCAGGTAAAACCAAAAACAAATAAAGAAACTCACAAAATAAAGCTACTATTTTCAGTAAACAGTAAGAACAAAAGTGTTTACCCGTATGTCATCGACATTGACAATCAGAAGTTCATCGTAGACGTCTCTTTCCAAAGAAACTATCAATCCTCTGAGACTTATGAAAACCTGGAAATTAGGAAACAACGTACTTGTCAACAATATTATCAAGGAGTGAAAAAGAACATTGGGGACCTTAAGCAAAAACACGACGGCGACGGCGACGGCGACGGCGACGGCGACGGCAACGAGGGCGAGGCGAAACAAAATATCTAACGAGCAGAACAACAGCTCAGCACGTGCGTTTTAAAACTTTGTATATTTCTTGGATGTCCTCTGCAAAAAGACCAAAGTGAAATGACCAAACATTTACGTGGTCTGATGACAGAAACCCTCAGGGGAAACTTTCTAAGTTTTTTTGGAAACTCAAGGCTGCTCCCACAACTTATGCTGGAGAAAAAAAATCCAGCTATTAGCGAAAGGAAATTCTAACTAAAAATATAAATTCAATTTCTAATCGACATCTTTCTCGGTTTTGCCGTCCTGGCTACAAAAGTTTCCTTAGGGTAAAGTCTTAACAGCGTTGCTGTCTGGAAGGCTCGTGCAGAAGAGCCGATATAAGGGAGTTTAAGATGTCACTACGTCGACGTGTGGCAAAACATTGCTGAAAATATCGTAATTTCTTTTCCTTCGCGACTTTCGCCAGAAGCTCGAGGCGTTCAATGTTTCTGACGGTACGAATCTTCACATCGGCATAACATGTGAATGTAACGTTGACTTCAGAGTAAAAACGAAACTTAATTGCTGTTGAGGTTTCTTTGCTAAGAGGACGTAAAAGTTGGCAATTTCACGGGACGGCTAAGAAATGTACAAAGTTTCATTACGTTCATGTTTCGCTACTGTTCTGCTAATTAAATCTCCTGTTTTGCGATGTTCTCGTTGCCGTCGCCGTGGTGGTTTCCTTAAAGTCCCTACCAACGGCTTGCCCGCAGGCTATTATTAATTTAGTGGCAGTGAACCCGTAATGATACCTGACTTGGTGAGGATTGTTCTTCTGCCTCCTTCTTTAACAAACCGAACAAATCGCGCATTCGACTCAGATCCAACATACTGACATACTCCTACCAGCAAAAACAAAAAAAGTTGTAAAGAAATTGGGTAAAATCGACACCAAAAAAGAAACAACAACAACAACAACACAACCTTCCGCACAGCAGTCCGGCGCTCTACAACCCATGCTAACCAAGCGATCTATCACACATGACACTGGTAACATTTCTTCTCTAACGTATCCCCTAACAGCAATGAACAATGATGCCACAATAATAAACCGTATACTTGTTTGTCTCACGAAGAAGTCACTTGAGATGTACATCGCGACGTTTCGACTACTTACTGCTAGTCTTCGTCAGGCGATGGGGTCGACTGCTCAAGGGAATAGTGACTACATCATTTGCTTTATTTTTCTTTCTTTTAGTTTCTGTTATTTTCAAAAGTGGCATGGAATCGCATAACATTTGTGATACACCTTTCGTTCATCACTTCAGTCTATTTCTGTGAAGCCTCCATGTCCCCTACAAGACAGTTTTCCCCACAGCTAAGAAACCGTCACTCTTACCTCTTGAAGTTTCTGTAATACTGGAACGGAGTCAGGTCTGAGAACTACAGAAAAGTTCTGATCTGATGTTATTCTTGCCACTTTGGAATGGCCTGTGGAATCACTCCCCTGTTGCGTAGAAAGAAAATCACTTTTTTACTTGTTCTAGAGTCAACTTAAAAACTGGTGAAAGATTACCGATAGTAGACCAAGGTCCTTATGAGATGGAGTTAAAACGGTAAAAATACGAGAATTTTCAAGGAGAACTCGAAGTAAAAACAACCAAACTGCCGAAAGCGCGGGTTGTTTTAAATTCTTCCTCTGATTGGTAAAGAGAGTGGCGCGAGGTTTTTGGACCAATCACAGAGCGAAGTAAAGAAAAACCAATGAAACCTTGGATTCCTTTCGACACTCAATTTAAAATTACTCTGATTCTACCTGAATATTAACTAAGATAACGTTCAAATTACTCACAATAAAAGAACATTCCCAAGGCTTTGAGATCCATTCATTTCCAATAACGGCATAGGGATCTTTTTTCCCCTCTGAGTTGGGGACATAGGCTTGTATTCCCACGGAAGCTCTATACTGAGTCTGGAAAGAAATAAAAATGCACTTGTACTTTAAGATGCAATTTATCATGTCGTAATAATTACTAAGTTCAATTCAGTTATGGAGTGATAATAGCAATACTGATAGGAAAAAAAATTTCAATTAAGTTTCGAAAGTAATCCGGGAATGCTTTGAATGTTTTATTTTGTTACGCGGTTTGGCCTTGTCATGAGTGGCTGTTATGATTGCTTTGGTTGGTTTTGCGACACATAATCGAAAAGTGCTCCAATAATTAATACAGTAATGATAATAATAATAATAATATATATTTTTTTAATTTTATGGATGAGAAATATCTTTATTTCAAGTGCTAAAATCTATTTACAATGGAATTTATAATTCTATACTTTTAACACATGTCGATAACAATAAAATTCTAAACATAAATACATTACTAATATGTTTGCTAAGGAAAAAAACATAAAATATATTTAAAAATCTGTCGACTTTGATTGAAATAAGTAAGATTTATCTAGGCTAAAATATAGCAATAAAGAATTCAAGACTGGTATTGAGAAACGTAAAACTTGGCGATAAAAAGGCATTGGAGATGGCTCCTTCAATAACGCCAACATCAATGTCATTGTTCTTCATGTCACGCTGAACTTTCCCAATGCTCCTGGAGCCTCTTAAACAGACAAGAGCAGATCGCAAAAGCGCAAACGAAACTTGAGCTCTTACCCAGGAGATGGCTGTGGAATATTGCTTTAAATAATAACCATTGTTATTATTATTATTATTATTATTATTATTATTATTATTATTATTATTCGTGGTTAGTGCATGCCGTACGCGGGAAAAAATTCACCTTTTTTCAAAAAGAAAAAATGAAACCTTAATTAAAAGAACCTATAATGTTTTCCCCACCCACGTTATTAGTGTAATATCTGCGCATGCTTCCAATCCCACATCCAACAGAAGATGGATGTCAGGAATATGTTTTGTGGTCAATGCTATAAAAAAATATTGGCAACTGCCACCAAGAAGTAATATGAATGAAAGGAAATCAGAGAATATTGCGTGGATCTTGAATCTTACTTTCTTGGTTCTCTTAAGGAGCGAGAGATTGAACGACGCCATGATGTTGACTGCTTCATCTCCATCTTGAAAGCAAACTGAAACTTTCGAATCATCCGACTTGACATTGACCTAGGGTAGGAAAGAAGAAGAAATTGCATTAACGTCATAGAATTCTGTTTTATCCTTTCTAGGCTAGCAGGCCCTCAATATTAGTGCGGTAGGACGCTTATTTCTCAGTCTGCGAGGAGATTGCGACAAGTTGGGGAGAGGTCAATAAAAATGAATCAGTGCTAGACCCCTGACTGACCTCTCGCTGACTCGCGTTGCTTTACCGAGGGCGAAAAAACGCACTTACAGGAGCTCTAGTAATAAGGGCCTGCTCACAAACTATGAGAAGGACAGCTCACCTCTAATAACTTGTCAGGATTAATGTCTGTTTCATCGCGACCCTTTGATTCAGATGACAAAGCTGAAACGAAATACAAAGGAAAAAGTGTGTTAACCCTTTAACTCCCAGGATCTCTTTGTTAATTCTCCCTTCCAGCTGCTACACATTCCCTTGTAAATCAGTTGCAAGAACTTAGTGCTAGATCAAGATAACAACTTGTACCTGATACATTTGAGTATTCTCATTACCTGTTTCCTGGATAGTGGATGGATATTGTAAGGAGAAGTTACGCGTGAATCACTTCTAGGAGTTAAAGGGTTCATCATAAGCTCGCAGGTTGATGCCATATCATGTCGCGATGCAAAATAAAAGAGGCCTGTAATACAGCTTTTCAGATTGTATTAAAACGGAAGCGGCTTGTCACGGCGGTACAGCTGTCCGTTAACTCTTTGACTCCTAAGAGTGACTAGCATCTAATTTCTCCTTACAAAATCACCCCTGAATCAAACATTTAGGTCTCGAGAATAAAGGAAATGATCACCAACCAAAGAGGCTCTTGATTTTTAAACAAATTCTCCTTGTCAGCATCTTAGGAAATGTATAAAGAGCAGTATGGAAAATATGCATACTGTTGTTGGGTTGTGAAGGGTTAACTCTTTCATTCGCCACATCAAAGAAGTGCGTAAGTTTCTACAAGTTGTTGTTAGATTGATTCAATATTCTCCAATCAGTAACTTCCTTTTCCTCTTGATAATCATACTGTACAAAAGTATGTTGCTTGAGATCAAATTTTCACAAGGTATCAACATCAAAAACAGATTAACTTAAATAGATTCCCTGCATCGTTTTTCAATGAGCAATTCGCCTTCCCGCAAGGTTTCATGTGCATAACAAATCGCTACCGGTAAGAGCCTACAAAAAAGTTTAAAATGAAATCAATTTGGTCTTACATGGCCCAATATCATAAACATATTTTTTTTTTGCTTTTTTTTTCTTATTTGTTACCTAGCAGTATGTTTAATATTGTTTTACAATGAAAATGATCTATATGTACTGGTATGTACGCATTTGATTAGTTTTCATAATTATTTTTTATAGAAAATGCACAATATAAATATTAAATATTATTATTTTTATTAGTATGTACATGTAGATGCATGTAGACTTGGAGTACATCATGAAGTCCCACTCATTTGAAAAATTTCACAGCTGTTTCAATGTTACCTTCTTTAAGCTGACAAATCCAGGAGTAGAAATACACCACTAAAGAATTCACTCTGCAAGGACTGACAAATATCTGTAACCCATGAAAGTTCATTGTAACCTGTGATGGACCTGATTTGTGAAATGTACCTAAAAAATCCACAAGTGGCATCTTGAGGATCTGAAATGTAATAAAATACAGTACATTTAAAGAGATTTTATTTGACCAGAAACTAAACAAAGTAACATTTGATAATATTGAGGTCTGGGTACTGATGTTCAAGTCATTTTGGCACATAACAAAGTAACTTATTTGATAATTAAACGATACATGGTAATTAACCCTTTAATCCCTAAGAGTGATAAGGTTCTAATTTCTCCTTACAATATAACCCCTGAATAAAATGTTTTGGTCACGAGAATAAAGGAAATGATCAGTAACTAAAGAAAATCTTGATGTTTTAACAAATTCTCCTTGTTAGAACCTTGAAAATGTAAAGAGAACAGTATGGAGAATATGCATGATGATGTTACAGTGTAAAGGGTTAAAGTTAGGTGTGAGTGGATAGGTCGAGGCAAACAGGTTTGAAAGGTGCAGTATATTTCAAACTCTATAGAGGAAACAGGTCAGCTCAGGTAAAGTCAGACAGGTACAGACAGGTTTGACTACAATAGGCAGCTCTGGACAGAAAACAGGTTTGGTCAGGTCAGACTTGTTTGACAGGTGTGACAAAAGACAGGTCAGGTCAGATCATTGCCTTCAGGAGTATGTCAAACATGACTGATCAAAATTTGTGCAAATTTATCTTACCTTTTCTCTTCTGGCCAGTACAAGCCCTGGATCATAAGGCCCACAGCAGTATGTTATTTCCCTCATTTTAATACATAATGATGTGGCCTCTTTTGATGGTATCAACAACCCATCCACAACAGCAGCCTGATAAAAGAAATCCATGTAAGCAGATTGAATGCTAACTGTTTTTCTAACTGTCCAGCTATTGAGAAGTTGTAGACTCAACCCCTCGGGATAAGAGGCAAAGTGAGCATGCATTCCACGGCATCTTCATTTGAATTTATATCATGCACTTATTTCTCCTTATTTAAATTATGGTATCTGTGCATGGGGCAACTGTCCACAGACCTACCTCAATAAGATACTTGTTCTGCAAAAACGTGCTCTGCTTTTGATTTATTTTTCTAAACCCAGAGACCAAGCAATCCCTTTTTTTATTGAATCAAACTGCCTTCCTTTGCAGTCTTTGTTCTTTCAACAGTTAAGCTATTTAATGTCTGACGTTCATGCTAAGACAGCTCCTAAAAGTCTTCTCGATAAGTTTGCGAAAATCAATACAGAACATCATTATAATACGCGATTATCTGCAAAAGAATGCTTCTCTGTCAAATTCTCTAGAACTGAAAAAATGAAAAAATCTTTTACTAGAATCGGTGTGTCTATTTGGAATTCTATTCCACTTTCTGTTAAGACTCTCAACGTTTCTAATTTTCGTAAAAAAATTAAATCACTACTCCTTAATGCTCTAGGTAATGAAGATAATTATTTGAATGTTAATTTTTTAAAAGAATATTTTGTGAAGTTAACCTGATATATTGTATATACCTCTAGTTGTAGTTTTAGTCTTTTTCAAATAACAAAATCCCTTGTACTTGAATTTATTTGTAAGGTGTTTCTTTCTGTATGTTTTTGTATTTCTTCTTTTCTTTTTTCTTATGTAATTAGTTAAAGTCTTGTCCTGCCTAGATTAGCATTGTAGCTATTTGCAGGACATGAAGTTTTGTAAACCTTATATTTCTTTAAATAAAGAAACAGAACAAGCATGCTCAGCTCTAAATAAAAAGGTCTGAGTTGAACCCTGGCTGAGATGCTGTTCTGTGCTCTAAAAAAATTTGGTTTGTTTTAACATTGGCTCATAGCACCCATGGGTATGTATAGAAACACATTTTCAGAGAAACTAGACAAAACCCCACAGAGTAACCTGTGATCTATCAGCATTCTGTCAACAAAATATTACATGATTCTTTATTTTCCAATAGTGACTGTGCCAAACTTAATTCCTCTTCATCACTTTGTCATAGATAAGTGCAATATGCATGTATTCCTCCACACCACCAGCAAGTGCAACAGAACAGATTACCTCAAACATTGCAACATAGGAGCCTCCCCTATGTACATGTAGTCTGCTTCCAATTTGTACATCAGTAGCATGCAGCAAAGTAAAGGATGGTGGTATAGTCTCACTGGAATTGCGAAGGTCACTGCTGATCAGGTCACTGGGTGAATGCTATCAATCAAAATGGAAAAGGTTTAACATTGATGAAGTTTGCACAGCCAAACACATTCCAATTAACACACCTCCTTAACACTACTCAAATTTTTTCTTTAACCATATAGTAAAGAACATCCTCCAGAGATCAATTCAGAAAAATAATAATCATCATCATAATCATAATAAAAATAATAATAATAAAACTTTAGGTCAGTGCCAAATGGATCCAGCTTTACAGATAGAAGTCAATTGGGGGACATAACTTCACTGACAATAAAACTTATTAATTTAGAGGCTTACATTTATATCATCAGTACATTGATCACTCTAATCTAAGATCCAAAATCTAAAATCCATAATTTACAATTTTCAATCTACAGTCTGAATCATAATCTACAGAGGTGCCACAGTCACCTGTCATTTAGTTATTTTACAACGTTTTTAAAGAACTGAAGGTAAGGCAATTGTTTGGCCTAGTTGTTTAGAAGTTTATATTTAAATCTGCTATTAAATTTGCAAAACATCTGTAAGAAATTATTAAACCCAAATATTACACAGAATTTATATATAAAAATTTAAGTACAATACATACTTACAATATTCTAATACCAGTGAAAAGGTATAATTATAAAACATTAATGTAATTAATATATGATATAAACATTAAAACCTCACCATCTTCCAGTGAAGAGTAAAGGAAGTGTACACATCTGTTGTTGTATCCTAAGAACAGAAAATGAATTAAATTTAAAAGAATCAAGATGTCAAGGAAGGCAATTCACATTACATCAAATTCAAGACAATACTGCCCAACATTTTCATCAAAGGCACTCCTACAGCAGTATTTAACGAAGATCAGTAAAATTTATGAACTAGTATTTGAACAAACCTCTGTATCAGTAAATATTTCTCTGTGTACATCCTTTACAGAAAACAAAATTGTGATATCCCTACAAGAAACAAAAAATGTCAAATTTGCTGCATTCAAATTTGGTAAATTTTAATCTGGTCAAAGAGTGCACAAAACTGCAAAATTTTCCTTAATATATAATTTTTTTTATACAAATACTTCTAAAATTCCACCCTACCTAACTTTTAGGAAATTCCATTCAATTTTCTTTAATGATATATCTTCAATTGTCTGTTGAGTAAAACAAAAGAAATTTTATGAAATGCATAAGTCAGAAAATGCTAATTGCTAATAAAAACATATTTTTGCCCAGGAACCAAAACTCTATTTTATTCATTAGTCACTTGCTTGCAGTTATTGCACTTACAGTAGCTAGCAGAAGTCAACTCGGACAAACATAATCTAAACTTTCCTTGGTAGTTTTTAGTTTTTTTAGTTCCTCTCTGGTTATCAAAGCCTTTCATTGGCCAACTTCTACTTGTCAAGGTTACTTTAAAGCCTTGTTCAAATGGTTATGATAGTTGAAAATAGTTTCAACTTTCACGCATGTTTTAACCCCTTTCAACCCAACATCAGTATGCATATTCCCCATACTGCTCTCCATAGATTTCTTAAGATGCTGACAAGGAGAATTTGTTCAACAATCAAGAGCTTCTTTAGTTGGTGATCATTTCCTTTATTCTCATGACCTTAATGCATGATTCAGAGGTGATATTGTAAGGAGAAATTAGATGTTAGTCACTCTTAGGGGTTAAAGGGTTAAACACCAACTATCGTGCACTATCATCGACTATTACAGTGAAATATAGTTTTTCATTCAGGAGTTTTGCCAACAACTGGCTCAAACCGAAATGGCAAGTGGTAAAATGACTAAAAGTAGCCGTCATAAGTTCGCAGAATTTCTAGTAGTTCAATCCCATTATCTCTTGGTAGGCTTCAGTATCTTCAGCTTGCAACTTCTTAAATTCATTTTCAAATGCCACCTAAATTGCTGACTTCAGCACATGCCATATTTGTTCACAGTAATGCGATCTCATCATGTGATTTTGTCAACTATCATCAACTTTCATGAACCGTTTGAAAGCAAACATGATAGTCAATGATAGCAAATGAAAGTTGAAACTATAATCAACTATCGTTGGTTTGAACAGGGCTTAACAAGTGGCTATGGATGCCTACTCCTCCTCAATGCAGAGGTGCAATGACACATTTAGCTCTCGTTTAACAATAAAATTATCCTGTCCAAAGTCCAAACCTTGACCAGTTGGACCAATACCTCAACCATTAGCCCTTAATGCTTAAGATCTCATTTTAAAGTAATTCTCCCAACTGCCTGCCATACAATTCTTGTGATGCCAGTTCAGAGAATTTGGTATTGGATCAAATTTATTTTTCTTTATTCTCATCACTTGTCTGCTTGATATTATATGAAATTCTGTTTTGGTCATTCATGGGAGTGACAGGGTTAAAATCATTACAGCTTTTACTAGAAAGTCTAAACGAGAGAGCAGCATGCAGCTGTATCTTCACTAAATCAGTGAAAGCTGTAGCTTACATTGGAATTGTGGTCAAAATTATTTCAAACCATATTTTTATTTCACTTAATATGGAGATTGCACTAATCTAAAAGGATTGAAGAAAGAAAACTTCCCCAGGTTAAAATCATTTCAACTCACAACTCACTTTAAACAGAAACATAGGAAAAAATTTATCTCATACCAGTCCTGAGTTATCTTCCCAAAGTACTCTTACACCTTGAACAGATAAAAATCCAAACTCTCTGATGGTAATTTCCACATCATGAAGTCCAAACCACCACACAAGTATAAATGACAAAATATGATTCAGAAACCTGCCATGAAGTAAAACAAAATAAACTTAGCCTTCCAGTATACATTTGTAAAGAAATGATATCAACTCTCAACATAATTAAGGTTACCATATAAGAGTACCAATTAGAGGTGCGTATGATGCACTGATGTCAACATATTGTATTCACTTTCTTCTGATACAATTTCATCATGACAGTTAGAGCTAGAGTTAGAGCCAGAGCTACTGGTCTGTTAAGATAATTTGGTTATATCAACTAAGTTGATGATGTAAATTGGCCATTTTAGGGAGTTACTGCAAAGCTACAGGTCTGTTTCCTAGCAGAATCCAGCTGCCACAAGTGAGTAGCTATTGTCTTTGGGGATCTTCAATGTAACCTTTGCTTTTTGTAACAGCTTTTAGCAGCACTTCTGATAAGAAAGCCTTCAATCACTCACTGATTCTTTAAAGAGGTATAGAGAAAGTTTGCCGCTAGATTTTTGAATGAAGGTTGATGTTATTCAGTGAATGACACAGGTATAATAGGAGAAAAAGAACTTAGAGTGCTCCCAACAGACATAGAACCTTTTGATAAGCACTTTGGACATTCTACCCCTGAGCTATAGGAGATACATTGCAAACTAGGCCTTACTAAACTTTTAAGTCACTGTTTGTAGTCTGAGAACACACATGTAACTTTGACCATTCACCAGAACAGATATCACCAACATGTGGGAAACATTTTGCAAAGAAAGAAATGTTTTCTTAATGGGAAATTTCTCTGAGTCACAGGGCTTACCTGAGAAAATCAAGCTGACAACATTCTACAAAATCAATATACATGTATGTTCCCTGAGCTCTCAGACACTGCGCAGATTGCAGCTTGGTCAAAATTGCAAAGCATCACTTGTACAATAATGTCAACTAATAACCTTCAGAAACTTGTCTCAACATGCAAAATAAATATAAATATGCAGAACATACAAAAGATTCTGCAAAATATCAAAACTGTGAAAAAGAGACATGAAAATGGACATGAAGGATTTAGTTCCAAGTGGTGTTGCATTAGATTGAATTTCATAATTCTGACATCAAATAGAAATTACAGCAAATTACCATAAAGTACTGAATAGTGATACATTAAACTTCCATGTAGCAACAATTCTCAAATAAATCTGCAGAAATTGCAGACAGGAGACTACCTGCTGTTGAAAGCTCTGCCCTCAAAAGAGCAAACTTCATTTGTTATGAAGGTTTTACTATCGAAATATTAAACATAACTCGTTCTCTATGTTAAGTTCGAGTATCTGTGGCAGAAAAAGTAACAAGGCGTGGTTTGTACTGTAAAGCTTACATATGCATGCAAATCTCGACCCTTGGACGTCGTACCGGACTCTTGAGTAATGGCACGATGATTTCAAATTCGAAATTTTTATTCAAAGTATATCCTCCACTAGTTGGTTAATTCGAAATATATAAACATTTAGAACTAACTTCGTTTAAATTTGCAAATAGAGGAGTTAGTATACATAAGTGAGCTTATAACTTCAATCAGGGCTAACAAGATTGGATGAATTTCACAATAGAACGAAAGCGAATATTGTACAAGAACATTTAACGATAACTTACCAAGTGCTAACACGAACCCATAAGAGATATATCCTCAAGTATATGTTAATGACCAAAAATATCGGGCCAGTAATCCCAGAAAAAACACCATTTGTAGATGTGGTGATTGTTCTCAACATGCCTGATGTCTGTAGACGACAAATTCAGTTTCGATAATTTCAACCTTTGTAAACGTCTACTTGCGCAGCTTGAGTGGTTGTGTTGTTCTTCTGTTGTTGATATCAGCCTCTTCGTCACAGATAGTTTCAGTTTGAGCTGCTCAGTCGAGTGTTTCTTGACGGAACCAGTTTTATAAATGATGTAATTCCCTCATAGACGCCATTGTTTTGCAAATGAAATTCATCTTTGACCTTCAACCATCACGTGCCCATTAAAGCATCACACCACATCTAGTATTTCATTTTGGTCAAGAGGTCTTAATAAAAAGACGCTCATTAAATTTCGAGCTATATACTTCCGTTCAAGGAGCCAAAGTACGAAATAAACGAATAGTTGATCAGATGACAAATAGCCAAAAAAAACGTTAATTACGTTCTAGACAAGTTCAAAACACCGTTGAAGTCTATTTCCATTTTCTTATTCATGTAAACTTAAAGAATCTGTCTCTTAGTGGAGAAGACCGCTGATAAACACCGTGACTGGTTCGTTTCAGAGAATTTCTTCGCTCAACTCAGTTTGTCTATGTTACTTATTTTCCCTTCCTCAAGATCCTGAGGCTAAACTGGAGAATACCCGGCCACTTTGGTCCGCCTCTCTTATATGTGTCGGGAGGCTTTAAAGATCGAGGCATAACACAATAGAGGCTATTCTTATTCGATGACATGTAAATGAGTAGCCGGGTATTCTGCAGTTGCTCCGATCCTGATTTTCGATATATATCTAATAAAACTCATAAATTAAAAAAAAAGACATAACTCCGGAAGAGAAAGGAGATCACAAGGAAAATTATTTTAAACGCTTCTTGTTCTCGACACACAACGCACTTCTCCCCAACAATGCCTTGTGCGACGATAATATTCTCTTATAGGGAAAGTACGGTCTAGAAAAAAAATTTATCTCAATTACAAGAATCTTTCCACAGAAGTTCGAAAAGAACCTCTATTTTGTCCCGTTTGCCTTGCAATTGCGGCAATGGCGCTTTGAAGTTGTTCATATTAAGAGCTTTTGCAATTTTAGAAAAAAAAAAAACATTTAATGGAAGCGAATAAATTGAAATCGGCGACCACGTGTGGTAAATTCTCAGTCGCCATCCGTGACCAAAGCCGATTTTCAACATCGTGGGCTTTTCCCAACTTAATTGCATAAATATATCTTGTCTTTCCTAACTCTGTTCTGGGTCCACTAAGTAAACTGCCTTTACCTCACTGATCGCAAACTCCTACGAAAAAAAACTAAAGGACCATTTGATACGTTACAGGCAAATAACCCAGACAAACACGATTACAACAATACAGATTATCTATCGCTTAGCAGGCGCCCACATTCGATTGAACACAATAACAGCTTTCATGAGCTTTTCTTGTGCTTTCATAAAGATTTGAATAAATAAATTCATATAAATCATGTGACGACATTTCTGCAATAAAATTTAGCAAGATCTCTAGAGGTAATATGAAAAGTGCCATAGACAAACGCAACAACCAGCTGATATCGTGAGTTCATGTCGCACGAAGTGGGGCGGAGGGGGAGGAGGGAGATGCAAAGACAAAGAGGTGTTGAAGATGAGTTGACCGGATGGAACGAATGGCAAGCTTGCTGCAATCCGGATCGAGATCATGAGGTCCAAGTTCTAGCCTGGTTCTTCGAGTTTTCGAGTCGTGTTCTTAGGCATAACATTTACTTGCGCAGTTTCTTAGCGACAAACTATACCCAGGGGTTGATTGTGATAAACTGCATGATCCTCGTCAATAACTGTAACAAGAAAATAGGCCCTTTTGCAGTTGTGTACTTAGTTGCCAAGCCTTTGATTTGGAGTGAAGCTGAAGGTGACCTTGTTGTGATAGAGACTAGTATTTAGCTAGCGTGATAACAAAAAAAAAATTGCATTTTAGAAGCAGTAATGTTTGTATCATAACAAGGTCACCCTTAGCCTCACTCCTGTTCAATCGCTTGGCAATCAAGCACACAACTGTGAAATGGACTATTGGACCGACTGAAAAAATCAACCTCTTTGAAGAGGGAGCAGAGTGTTTGAACAAAACCTGGCCATGGAAAGGATTATTCCGGCAACTTTGGTGTTGTCCTCCCATAGATCAAACAATAATCTTTTTGTTTCAATTTTTACACTTTGAAGCAACATTTCTCGTCGAAAATCTTATCGTGACGTTTCGGCTTTACGCAGACCTGAGGAAAATTGGAACCTTGTAAAACTAAGCGTTAACCACAGAATTTAATCTGAAGCAATTACTCGAGCATGGGCAAATTTTAATAAGGGCTATGATTTTGTAACAAACAGAAATTTTCAAACGCTAAAATTTATAATTTATTTATGTTAGTGTACACTCTAGAAGTTTCCTTTCTCAGTTTAATTCCTTCGCCATCGCAATTGTCTGCTTTTATGTTGTTTTCGCCTGACGAATTAGATACTGAAAAAGATATCTTGGTGAAAACACACGGACTTGACTATCCAATCAAAGCGATAATCAAAACAATCGCAGTCGGCGATGAATAATTGAACGCAATAACACAGTGAAGCCTACGCGTTTGCAAAGTTTGATAGCAAAGCGCCAAGACCAAGTCTTCAGCGTATCTGGCAAGGAAAAACAGAATTTTGGAAAAACCTGTTAATTCTCAGCTATGGAGTTAACACCTACTCAACGAAAAAACTTGGTTCCTTTGGTTCTGTTTCTGGCCAATTTAATCTATCTTTACTTAGGAGGGCTCATCTTTGAATCTATAGAGTACGAACCTAAAACGAAATATACAACGACAGACGATGCGAGTTTGTTTTTGGAAACTTTGAAGGAAACGTCACTTGGAAAGAGAATGCTGCCGTCAGATTTTGACAGCAAAGAAGTTGTTAAGGGTTTACAAACAGACTCATTGAAAAATCTTAATGATAAGTTTGAGAAAATTCAAAACGAAAGGATAATTGCTTCCAGACCGCACTGGAGTTTTTCGAATTCGCTCTTCTTCGCCACAACTGTAGTCACAACAATCGGTAAGGCTTGAGTCATAATTTTACTGCAACTACTTACTCATTTTAGTTAACGCAACTTAACTGCTTAAGAAACATTTTTTTTAGGCAAGCTGGAAAACATTCCAATGGCGATAACTTAATCTCTGATGATTTTAATTTTCAGTTCCGAATGAACTAATTTTATTGATATTAGAGTATTTCAGGTTAGTGCTGGAGTTAAATAAGAATATACAAGGGTGAGATGGAAATCTCTCTCTTCTTGCATGGTATCAAAGATATACTACCTCGAAGTGATGATAAAAACCTACACTCAAAATGAAAAAAATGATTTATCTTTGTTATCAATTGCGGATGAATAAAAATAAAACAATTCTTGGAAAAATAACTTGGAAATCTTTTCAACAACTCTCCAGGACTCCTTACATAATTTGAAAATATTTTATTGAAAAGTATCTATTTTATAAACTTCACTACAACTTGCGTGGTTCTCGATGATAACTTTTTCAGTAACAAAAAAGTATATATCCCCAAAATCAATTTCGGTTAAAACGCTCGTTAACATGTAATCAACATCCTGCTTTCACATTGTTTAGATTAAGAAATTTTCTATAATAAGGAAGATGTTATCTTACTAACGACAAAATATCCTATTGGTTCTGGAGTTTTTGTCCTGGCCACAACACGTACGCTTCTTCCCACAGGAACCCTCGGCTTATGAACGAAAGGCAATCATAAAAAACGGTTTTGAAGGTCGAATTTTAATCTGGAGTGAGGAAGTTTGGTGAAAATACATGAAAAACTATACAAGGTCTTATGATAGATAGATAGAGAAGAGAATGAGGAAAAACTGCAGCGTTAACAGAGTTTTAAGAGGTCACACTAAATAGCCGATGAAAGGCGAATTGTAAACAAACACATTTAGATCAAGTGAGAAACAAAACAGCTTGATGGCGGTTGAAGGCTTGGACCCGCGATCAAGTAGACTGGGTTCGAGTCCAAGCCAGGTCATAGCTTTGTTTTCTTGGCATGTGCAACGCACTGTACTATCCAATCCTCACTTCATCCAAACTTAAGGGAATACCACTTTTTTTTTTGAGAAACGGGACGATTTGCTGAGAATAACCTGCGCGTTGGACCTGCCATCCATCCAGGATAAGCCGGCACATGGATGGAGACGATTGAAACGAATTTCAAACAATAATCTTGAAAACTTCCACCTAAATTTCTGAGATGCTAATCGACATGTGCAATTATTCAAAAAGTGATTTTTACTTTATTCAATTATTCAAAAAGCGATTCCAAACTGATAGTTAACGTTTAATGGACTCCTTATAAAAATTAAAGCACAGAAAAAGAGCGAGCGGTTGTGATAAGGGTTTCAAAACCTCATTCAAATCGCCTACTGGTGATGCCCTTATACTGCGCTGGTAACTTTGTTCTTTTCATTTCTTTAAGGCTATGGTAACCTAGCCCCGATATCATTGGGCGGTCGCATGTTCTGTATTATATACGCTCTCATTGGAATACCTTTGACCCTGATGTTGTTAGCCGTGGTGGGAAATCACATCGTGCACTACCTAAACAACGCATGCGCTTGGCTAGTGAACCGCATTCGAGCCTACCATAGTAACTACGAGTTCGAGTCTGCAGATACACAGATCAATGCACCTGTCTGGATTGCATTGCCGATCATCTTCGTATTTTTAGCGATTATGTCTTCGATGTACTGCGCTCTAGAGGGATGGGATTTTGGCACGGCGCTGTATTTCATCTTTATCACATTTACGACCATTGGATTTGGAGATATCGTGCCTCGATCTCAAGCGGTAAGTGTCCCCTAATTGGCTCCGATTAACGGGCCTGTCACACAAGCCAATTTTCACACTAGCTTGTTATGCAAATTCTGTTGTGACAGAGTACAAGTTTGAGGAAAATTGGCTCGCTCATTGTACCACCTCAAGTTCTCGTCGCATTAAGCTCTACGCGAAAATTTATTTTAAATTTCTGAATTTTTTTAAATATCATTATTAGAATTATTGTTGATATTATTATCATCGTAACTATCTTTGTTATCCAATCATCATCAGTTATTTTCATTATTGTCATTAACATTACCCCTGTTATCATAATTATTCTAAGGAACCTCCTTTGCTAGTTAGTTGCTGATGCATTTAATACGATTTTCCGTCTTTTTAAAAAATAAATTCTAAAATACAACCTCTTTTATACACTGATCAATTTGAAGTTTAAACATCCCCCCGGCAACCCACGAGAATTTTACCGTCGTTCATGCTCAGGGGGGTGGGGAATTTGAACCTTGCCTAACTAAAGTGAGTCATTTGAACCGGACCTGTCAAGTCTTTCCAGCATAAGACACGTGTTTTAATGGACGAGTCGTAGAATGATGCTTATAAGCAGAAACCCTAATGGCATGCAGCAGCACCAAAAACTGATACTTGTTAAATTCGACAACATTTGTTGATCACACAGTCAACGTTCAAAATTTGGTCGGGCATTTGAACGCAGTTTTGGCCCGGGGGCGAGAATTGAACCAGCCAATCTTCAAAATTGCAAATGCCAGGAGTGGTTGCCGAACGCGGGATGTTGAAGCTTCGAATGGATTAACGCATTTTAGATCATCCGCGGAGGTCTTTCTCTTCGTTTTTCCATTAGACTTTAACGATTTCTTATCAAGCTTCACACTAACATGTTGCCTACGTCCTTTCCTAATTGGGTTCATATTATCGTTTATATTATCCTGTCCCGGGTGTTCAGCTGGTAAAGCGAAGTGCGGTAGTAAATGGCGCAGGAGTAGAAGAGTAAAGAAAATTGAGGGAAGTTTGGGTCGGGTAGCGCAATGACAACACTCCCTCGTTTTCACTCTGCTGCTACTATCGCGCCGTTCACTTTTCTGTTCTATTTTATGAATCAAAACATGGTTAGAAATTAAATCACTGACGCGCGATCTTGTCTCTGCGGCTGTTCGGAGGTAAATGGTATTTGCTAAATCACCTCCGAATCAGCTAATCAGCGCGAGCGAAAAGCACCATTCACCTTTATGGTATATACGTACTTAGTCTGGATATGTAATTGATGAAATATTTGTATTGTGTTTATCTCTCTTCTTTCATTTCCCTTCTCCAATAAATTCACTCACTTGCCATCTCAAGCTTTTAATCATCAAGTCCATCGACCAAAGGTGTCATTTGGACAACATACCAACGCCCATCATTACTTGTGCCACCAGCTATCACATCACAATAGCGTACAACATAGTGACACCGCAGTGTCGCTGATGCAATGTGATTATAACATTTCAAAACTTGCACTAACTTTACCACTTAACTATCTCTTCTTAGACGAGCAGGAACGTTTCTTTCAGCGGACCGCGTATAGGAGAGGTTCGCCAACCACTCGCTCTTCATGTGCACAGCCTTTCTTCATGAGCACGTAGCCTATCAACACGATTGAAATGTTCTTCCTTGTACGATGATATCCATGCTTGACTAATTATTACATTAAATGCTAAACTAATTCCCCTTTTAAAATGCGCACTAAGTACTCTGCCAAACACCTGAATATGGGGTCTGTGTCTATTTGCTTTCGATGGGCCGTAAAGATAAAGCTCACTGAGCCACCTATATTTATTTATTTCTTCATTCTCTCAATCATATCTGAGGAGAAAATAAATGAAACGCTGAATACTTGTCTGCACCTGCACATGCCCAAGCACGAACACATCACGAGCAAATCACGTGCATGTTCTTGTCCACGTGACATAACTGTCATTAACGTTCTTATTGTTTGACACTGAGGAAAGAAGAAAGCTTAGTTAGTTCACTAGTTCAGTTCTTTTTTTTTTTTTCCTGTCTTGCCACATAAATAGTCAGTTTTAGTGTAAACTATTGCATGTGCATGACGATAACTGCATGATTTTGTTTTCTTCTCTCCTCAACGTCCCGAACAGCTTGCATTGATATTTCAGGGTATCTGGATCAACCTGATGCTCCTATATATCGGATTGTCGATCGTCTCCATAACCATCAACCTCTGCGCGCAGAGCCTCATGGCTCAGCTGAAAAAGACTGGTCTCCACACGAAGATCCTGCAACTCTTCTCAACGCAAGGGGACTCGGCCGAGGGCATCAACGCTCGCACGCAACAAGGAGAAACCGCTGATAGAGATCAGGCTCGGAAATCCAATAGGAGAAAAGGTAAAAAAGGAGAGAGGATAGCGATGTCAGATCTTGAGCCTCGGTCTGATGGCGAGAGGTCTGGTCCTGGCCGAGAGGATGAAGAACATTCTACAAGGCTGAAAATAAATCGAGAGGCCGATGGCAAACATTATGGAACCCTGCAAGAATAAAAAATTTGAGATTGTTTCCACAATACATACAGGCTGGAAAGTGTCTGGCGTGAAATGAAACCCAGCATATCACACGTGTAACTGAAAGTAGTCATTTACTGTATTACGACAGTCACAACTATTGGCGTTTATGAAACAACAGAGTGAGCTGTCATGATCAAAGAAAATAAATGCGAGTTTGTGAGCATGCTTAGAATGCGGTTGGATCGATACAAATAAACATTATAGCCATTTGGTAACTAAAAGGGGTAACTCAATTTCAAATTTTGTGCGATGAAAATAATTTGTGTTTCATTGAGTAGATGCGATGTGCGATGCAGAGGGGGTGGCAAAACAGTACTGCTTCAAAAACTTGAACCAGCTTTGGACCAGCAGTAATGCCAAACCACACTGATCGCATGGTAAAAGTCTTAGCTCGCTCTATACCGAGAGCTTTATTTTTTCTTTATTTGATCTGATCAATTGTCATGCATAGTTTTGAGAAAATAGACTATTGAGATTATCTACTGAAGAAAACAATCGGCGTGTCAAACACTACTCCGAGCGCGGTTTTGAGGGACTGGGATCTAATTAATTAAAATTTCCTCCCCGCAAGGGCGACCCTAAAATCTGGAATGGTGGAAAATGACCCCAAATCCTAAAACACGGAACGGATGTCAGGGCATGTTGCACAAATTTTGTACAAAAACACTCAAGCGCTTGGCTCATTCATCCCCACGACGATAACGTGCGGGACTAAAATTAAGTGTTATTAATTTTTTTTTCTTTCACCGAGTGGTATGAATGATAATGAACCATTATGCATGAAAGATAGCTGCGTTTTCGCGTTGTAAAACTGTTTTGTTACCTTTTGTTATGCTAAATTTGCCATGAGTTTTAGTCGCGGCATAAAAAGTCGCACAGCATGTGAAAACCAACTTGACATACCACATTACAATAAACAATTGTAACTTTGATACGTTTCCTGGTCACGTCTGCATTGATTTATTGAAACAATAATATCTCATATGCTTGTAAATGTGAGAACATCACAGGAACGTTTTCAGGCTTCTCAAAATATAACGACGTTCAGCCCCAGCTTCAAACTTAAACCAGCGTGAGAGCAAGCCCTCGTTACGAGCCTTCAATACGAGCGTTTTTTCATCCCCGAATAAGTTTTGGGACTTGAGAACACTAGGTGAAGAGAGATTTGCAGGGTGTCACGCGCGTGGGAATTTCTCATGGCGTGAAAAGACAAAAGGAAGTTAGTAGAAGGAAGCCGTCAAGAAGAATTTGAAGAATTTCTTCGCGACAAGGTGTCCAAAACACCACCATCCTACTGTAAAATTTACGGCTTACATATCAGCGGAAGAAATAAACTTTCTGGACAAAAAAGAGGCTATTTCACCAATTCGTTCAGCGGATTTCTTCTGTTCCTTAACAAATTGCAAATCGTCAACTCTATGGCGTTTAAATTGCCCTTCCTGAAAGGGAAGTGTAATTCAGACGGATCTTTGGATTGTCATGGTTTACCATTATTCGCATGGAAGCAGTTGCGAGACAAAGAAGAGGCTATCGGTCGAGGATACTATGGTTTGATTTTTGTGGCGAGAAACAATTCTGAGAAGGTCGTAATCAAAAAACTGTTAGGTGAGGACGAGAAGGAAAAGCGTCTTTTCCTCAAAGAGGCAAAAATACTCCTGGGGATTAAAAGTGAACATATCGCTAGGTTTCAAGCTGTGTGCATGGAACCGTGTGCAATGATGCTTGAAAAAGCGAAAGCGGCAGCTATCTTTCATGCATGATGGTTCATTATTATTTATACCACTCAGTAAAAGAAAAAAAATTAATAACGCTTAATTTTAGTCACGCACGTTATCGTCGTGGGGATAAATGAGCCAAGCGCTTGGTGTCTTTGTACAAAATTTGTGCAACATGCCCTGACATCCGTTCCGTGTTTTAGGATTTGGGGTCATTTTCCGCCATTCCGCCATTCCGCCATTCCGCCATTCCGCCATTCCGCCATTCCGCCATTCCGCCATTCCGCCATTCCGCCATTCCGCCATTCCGCCATTCCGCCATTCCGCCATTCCGCCATTCCGCCATTCCGCCATTCCGCCATTCCGCCATTCCGCCATTCCGCCATTCCGCCATTCCGCCATTCCGCCATTCCGCCATTCCGCCATTCCGCCATTCCACCATTCCGCCATTCCGCCATTCCGCCATTCCACCATTCCACCATTCCGCCATTCCGCCATTCCGCCATTCCGCCATTCCGCCATTCCGCCATTCCGCCATTCCGCCATTCCGCCATTCCGCCATTCCGCCATTCCACCATTCTATCATTTAAGCTTTTAGGGTCGCCCCCCATCAACACCAGCGCGTTACCTTTTTCGTGACCTTACTGAAATTTTTGAAATGGCGGACGAATCAACCCGATTGATCATTAAAGGCAAGAGAATCTTGCTGCCAGATTGTGTTTCTTCGGGAAGTATAATCATAGACAAGGGGAAGATTGTTGGAATAGAGAAAGGAATGGATACCGCTCAATTACCTCCACGGACGAAGGTAAAATGGGGCCGGGAGGAAGCGCTACTGACCAATATTGTAACCCCATCAAGGGTCATGTTACCCCACGAGAGTCAAAATTTTTTTTTGCGGTGTATCATGCCGGTTGATTATCAAACGTTCCACGAGATTCTACGCCTAACTCATGAAATATATGAGTGCAAACTTGCCCATTTTTACCGCGAAATTTACCTAAACAGGCCTTTGTGTTGCTCGTGAACGATGCGGTGTTCCATTTTAATAGTGGGTTTGCTATACGGGACCCTTTTTCTTAATTGAGCAGACAAAGTTACTTGTGATTTAAGCGAAATGAAATGCTCTTTTGGTTATGTGTGATGTTTGGTGTGCCAGGAAAGCGAGTGTGCAAAACTTTGTCAATGATCCTTAAATTTCTCGATTCGAAACACTTGAAGACCAAACTTTCTTGCGTCGCAGAAGATTGAATCTCCTGCGAGACCTAACATTTAGCTTAGCGGTCAGTTTTCAAAGTTCCGAATTTTTTTCCCATTACTTATAATAATTTTCACTCTCCTTGAGCAGTCATGGTCACTTGCAACCACTCAAATTCAACTAAGAGTTATCTTTCAAGCAAAATGTAATTTACGGTTATCTCTCAAAAGCAATATTAGTAGTATATTTAAGCAAGTTTTTGTATAGTATGTGGTCAGTTATGACATAAAATGGTGCTCCAAAGAACTGATTGTTAATTCTCCCCTCCAGCTGCTACACATTTCCTTGTAAATAAGTTACAAGAATTTGGTGTTAGATCAAGATTACTTCTACATGATACATTTGAGTATTCTCATTACCTGTTTGCTAGATTATTGGGAGAAGTTACTTGTTAATCACTTCTGGGAGTTTAAGGGTTAACACAGGTCTGACAGTGTTTGGCTTACAGGGTGGAATCTAGGGGAGGAGTGCAGGGGGTGAGTATCCCCCTCCCCTTAGATAACATGAGGCTTTCTGTTTTTCAAGCCAAAGAAGGAAAAAGGAACTTAACTATTTGGTCTATTGGTGTTGAAGTAAACATGAGTCAAGGTTGAAGAACTGATTTTAAACACCATAAAAATGGTAGTTTGGCAATGACATTTCAAGCATTAGCTTATTCTTCAGAGCAGACATTCCTTAGCTAAGCACCCACTCCTAAGAAAACTCCTCTATGTGCCCTTGTCTTCTGTAGCTCAATTTTTTTTCCAAGATTGCAAAGGCAATTCTTATGAAGAAATGTGCCCACCGGGCACCTAATTACCTTACTTACTTCTCTCCGATGATTCCTTTTTTCGGTTGGTTAGCAACACTGCATCCTTATTCCAAACAGAGCTGACCAATCCAATCATGTTACAAGGGTAAAGGCAAAATAAAATGCTTAGGCACTCAAATTTAGTTCAATAATTCTGTAAATAAAGCAGACAGTGCTAGGATCTCCAGTGTCAAATGAGCACAATGAAGGGAGAAACCAGTATGCTGATAACATTTCATGTATCTGGTTAAGTTCCTCACCTCACAAGCTTAATACAAATCCAGTACAATCAGAATATCAATCAGTGTATGGGATAACACCTCTTGGCAGGTCATAGATGCAGGAGAGCTGGTAGTGATGCCAGGAGTTGTTGATAGTCATGTCCATGTCAATGAACCTGGGAGGACAGATTGGGAAGGGTTTGCAACAGCAACACAAGCTGCAGTATCAGGTGGAATCACTACCATTGTGGACATGCCCCTGTAAGTACTAATTAACTCTTTTGATTCCAGGAATTAACCATTAAGTTAAATCCTTTGGGCTGGTTATTTACACAAGGTCTAACCCAAACCGCATTTTCATTCAAGAAGTGGGCTCAGGTCTTCTCTATAAGAGGGTTGATTTAAGAAATTAAATGTAACGCATCAAGCTTTTGGCGAAAGTCTTAGAGAAAAATAAATTATGTTTTTTCAGCAACATTTTACTGCTCATCGCAGTAGTGACATCTTAAACTCCCTTGTGACTATTGTTTAAGACCACAACGTAATAATTTAGCCAGGGCCATAACATGACCCATTATTAACCCTTTACCCCCTAACATCAGTATGCATATAGTTATTCTTCATACTGTTCTCCATACATTTCCAAAGAAGCACACAAGGAGAATTTGTGTAACAATCAAGAGCTGCTTTAGTTGGTGATCATCTCCTCCATTCTCATAACTTTAATGTTTGATTCAGGGATGATAAAGTAAAGAGAAATTAGATGCTAGTCACTCTTAGGGGCTTAAGGGTTAATCTAGCATGATACTCAGTCTTGCACCATGTCTTCCTCACAGATCATTGATTGCAGAATTAGTTAGGCTTTAGATTCCTGGTGTTATCAAAAGAAAATTAGGGAGTGGATGAGAATTTAATGCTATCATGTTGAAATATTCACTTTCCATCATAAATTGAATGAAGATAATTTGATGTGTCTTTTGTATCAAAAGAAATTCTATTCCTCCCACCACTACCCTGGATGGATTTTATACCAAACTTAACAGTGCTAGGAGCAAATGTTGGACAGATGTTGCCTTCTGGGGAGGGGTGGTACCAGGAAATCAGGTATTAAAAATATGAAGTAAAGATTTTAATCACTTGTCTGCCTGATATTGTACTGATATAGTAAGGAGAAATTTCATCTTGGTCACTCATGGCTATGAAAGGGTTAAGCCTGACTGTTGCCAACTGAAGACATCTGAATAAGATGTCAGTCTATGCTTTTGTTAAGGAGAATATTTTTCTTTGTTAGGCTGAAATAAAGCCCATGGTGAATGCTGGTGTTAAGGGTTTCAAGTGCTTTCTTGTGCACAGTGGTGTTGATGAGTTTCCCTCTGTCACAGAGAGTGATGTGAGGCTGGCCATGGAGCAAATGCAGGGAACAGATGCTGTGTTTCTGGTAATGTTTAATTATTATGACTTTCTTCTGCTACCACATGTTGGTTGGAATAATTTTTTTTAAGGTCATCTTTGTGATAGGCCTTTTTAGCCATTTACATCCCAACTTCAGTAAACAGGTTAGTTGGCATAATAGGAAGTTGCAAATTACATGTAATGTAAATTATTAATCGATCAAAGATTGATTGTCCTCATTAATTTGTGGAAGATGCAATTTTTTGCATCAGGCTATCTATTGATTAATTGAGCAATAAAATGATAAATTCTTTTTGGTATCTAGCCTTTAGCATGCATATTCTCCAAACTGTTCTCCATAAATTTCCTGAGGTGCAGACAAAAATAATTTATTTAACAATCAACAGTTAGTTGGTGATCATTTCAGTGGAATTAACTGAGTCAATAATGGGAGTTGGCCACCCAAAAGCTGACATTTTGACTGTTGGCCTGCATTTGCTCAGACTAAGGGCCAACACTTGAAGAATCAGCTTTAGAAGCTCTTTACAGTGGACCATTTACATCATTGTCTCAGTTGATTGCACCAAATTATCCTATCGATTACAACTTGCATCTCAATCTCTCAGAGGTAGGCAAAAGAATTGCAGACTACTCCATGAGGATCAGGGAGAGAAAAACCAATCTTTGATCTCTTTGAGTTCAAAAATAGATACAAATATAACAACAGAGAATCTTGTAACAGGAAATCCTGTTTACTTTAATTTTTGTTTGAAAAATTACTTTTATTGGCACAAATCTGTAAGCAAAGGCCCTAAAAAATGTTTGTCATCTGTCCTTAGTTCCATGCAGAAGTTGAGATTCCTCAAGAAACAGACAACGCAAGTCAAGGTAATGCCATCTTTTTTTAATGTTGATCGAGCTGGTATCACTGGTTTTATATATCAGTGAGTCAATCCCATTAACCTCATTGATCATTATCCCTTCACTCTCATGATCTCTTTGGTAATTCTCCTTACTGTCTGCTACACATTGCTTGTAATTTCAGTTTTAAGAATTTGGCATTGAATCAAATGATAATCCACCAATTGATATTTTTCATCACTTGTCTACTTGAGATTGTATTGATATTGTAAGGAGAAATTCTCTCTTGGTCACTACTGGGGGTGATGGGGTTATTGGTAATGACTTGCCAGAACACCAGAGTAGAGTAGGTGAAAAGCCAAGGCATTGATAAGATATTCATTGTAGGATCCATCTGTGTCCTTCTGGCATTTGGTTGGAATATGCCAATCCCTGTATATTATATATAATGATAATAGGACTGAGTGGAGTCCAATTCTGTCTGTAATCATACTCGTGATCAACAAAATCGGACGACCGCGAAGCGGGCGTCCGATTTGTTAATCACGAGTATGATTACAGACAGGATTGGACGACACGAGGTCCTGTTACCAATTAATCAAAACTATGACAAAATTTGAGAAAGAAACTAGGCATCGGTTGTACGTTTTGATAAAAAAAAAAACAACAACAACAACAGCTTCAAACAGTTGACTCGCCGAAATGTGAGACAACTGCGCACGCATTTGACGCGTTCTGTCCACTTACACGGGCATGACGTATTAACTGTTCCTTTCACTGTCCTATTACACTGTCCAAATACAAGCATGATGGTTCAACCTCCATTGTTAGAGAGAGGGGGGGGGGTAGGTTCTGTGTGTACGTCTGATTTAGGTAAAAAAAAAAAGTCATCTTTAATATATGTGTGGTATAAGATATGTTTTCAACTGTTCCAAGGAGTTTTGACCTCCATTGTGGCTTTTTGTTTTAAGCTGCTCGGGTGATTTGAAGCAAGTGCCAAACGGCCGTGAAGCGCGAGTTACGCGCGAGAGAAGGAGCGTGTTCGCTTCGAGCCTACCCCCGCTCACCTTTAAAGAAGCCAAAGATTTACGCTTGCTCTGTGAGCCGCAGGCCTAACCACGTTCTAGACAGTTCTGAGCAGAGTATTTTTGTTGTTATGTCACAGATCCTTCTAAGTACACCACATTTTTGCATTCCCGACCGGAAGCGATGGAAAACCAAGCGATTGAGCTGGTGATCAAACTTTGTAAAGAATACAGGTTAGTCGGCATAATAGAAAATTGAAAATTACACGTTATGTAAATTATCAATCGATAAAGAATTAATTGTCCTCATCACTCAATGGAAGATGCAATTTTTCGCATGAGGCTATCTATTGATAAATTGATCAATAATTTGCGATATCTAACCCTTTACATCATAACAGTATGCATACTCTCCATACTGATCTCTAAGGATTTTCCTAAGGTGCTGACAGGGAGAATTTGTTTAATAATCAAGAGTATCTTAACTTGGTGATCATTTCCTGACCTTAATGTGTGATTCACCGTACAGATCAAATACTTTTCCTTCTATCATTGTGACGTTCTGTTTGTATTTCAGAGTACCCTGTCACATTGTGCACCTTTCTTCAGCAAGTGCCCTGCCCATGATCAGGAAGGCCCGCGAGGAAGGTGTCCCTCTCACTATAGAAACTACGCACCACTACCTGTCACTCCAAGCTGAAAATGTGCCTGATGGTGCCACTCAATTTAAGTGCTGTCCGCCTGTACGAGATGGCAAAAATCAAGTAAGCATAGCTGCGTATTCAACAGGAAGCTTAGTAACATTCACGCGCGCATCGTTTCAAAAGCAAGAAAAAGATAAATTAGGGAAACGCGGTCAGCTGGTTACAATTTATTGATCTATTTGATTACTTCATAGGGAAGTTGGAAAGTAATCTTCGACCTCATGTACGTACTCGACCCAATTCTCCTGACGTATGTTCCAAAATCTCGCTAAAAAATACAATAAGTGGAACCGCGTTGTATTTGTTTTCCTCTCTCCTCACAGGAAGCTCTATGGGATGCCCTTAAGTCACGTGACATTGACTTAGTCATTTCAGACCACTCTCCGTGCACTGAAGATCTTAAGCTGATGGACAGAGGGGATTTTATGGCGGCCTGGGGAGGAATATCAGGGGTGCAGTATGGTGAGTGCGTATTGAGGATATGCGCACGTACATATTGTTCAATGGACAAGACGTACCACGGTTAATTCCTATTTCCTTTTTCAGGGTTATCCATATTCTGGTCGCAGGCGTGTAACCGAGGTTTCTCTCTTCACGATGTTGCTCGTGTAATGTGCGAGGAACCCGCCAAGTTAAGTCGTTTGAGTCATCGGAAAGGAAAGATTGCTGTGGGCATGGATGCGGATTTTGTGCTTTGGGATCCTGAAGAACGAATTGTGGTAAGACTTGTTAAAAAGGTTAATTCCAGGCGTATGGTGTTGGCAAAATGACCATTTGTATCATAACTAGTTCGGACAAGTGTACGCAGCGTTTTGACGGGCGTGTTAAAGAGAATGTAGTGCTAGTTTTCTACCAGGTTGCAACGCACAAAGGAGAAAAAAGCAAGCGGTGTCACATAGTTTGATTTGGTTTACAATGTAATCTTCTTCTCATAAAAGATATACGTGGAAGTGAGTTTGTTCACATTAAATATACCTTTTATCAACCGAACCCTGTTCGAGATTCGTACTGTAACTTACAGACCGAGTTTTTTTCCGCGCGGGCCATAAATCCGAATGGAAAAAAATGAAGTTCCATTACTTACTATACGAACCGAGAAAACGAGGTTAGTAAGGTGTTCGTAATGTATCTCTGGATTCAAATTGACGAGGAAGATTCCAATTGAAACGAACTTTTGAATTTAGCGGGCTGTACATTGAAATACGGCCCGCTACATTGACCAATCACAGGGAACGTACTAACTGAGAGATATAATAAAACTATTTATGTATTTACTTTTTCCAGATCGATCAGAAGATAACTCGACATAAAAACAAGGTACAAAGGCTGGGTGATTGATTTTTAAACATTGAACAATGATTAAATCACAATCTTACTATTTTGGCTTTTTGTTTAGTCATGACAGATGAGGTCAATCAAAGCACTGTTCATGCTTATCTTTTTTTTTTGCCTGGACAGTGTGCACATTTAACAGCTTTCATATATAGCTCGCGTCCAAATGCTGTCCAACCATTCCATCTAATTAAGAGGAGGACAAAGCTTTCTCTCTCTTGTCCCTCTTCACTCTCTATCGCCTCCGATAAAAAGCGAGCGCCATTTTATAATTTGGAAAGTGTTAAATGTTTTTTGTTTCACGGGGTAAGGGGTTGGGATGGACCGGGGAGGAAGGGAGAGACATGGTAGGTCAGCGGATGGCGCACAAGAATCGGGACTGGTTCATGTTTGCTCCTTAGCGAGACACCAGTTACCACCCCAGCTGGGGAATAATGGACTGGGGAAGAATGGGTACTAGCAAACTGTCAGGGCAATGTGCAAGGCGGGTTACTTCGCGATATGATTTAAGTTGTGCCATCCTATGGAAACCGGGTTGAGCTCTGGCATAAATGAGCCGCTAGATTTGTTATACTTCACCTGTATTTTATGTTTTGTTTTTACTTTAATTGGCAGGTAACTCCATACCACAACATGACGTTGCATGGAGTCGTTCACAAGACTATCTTGCGAGGAAATGTCGTGTACGAGCGGGACAGAGTCTGCGATATTCCAGCGGGTCAGCTCATACTGGAAAAACCTTCACGAGGAGACAGCCTGATAAAATGAAAAATAAAACAAAATAGTGTATTGAACACATCCTAACCCTGAAACAAACATACAATGGTCCTTCCTGAAAATTATTAATTAAAACTTAAAAGCTAATCGTTCGTCTGTGACTAAGAAATTGTGGGCTTTCGCTCGCAGCACGTAAGTTATCCGAAAGCGAGTTCCATTCCTAGAATTAAATTAAGTGTCTAGGAGATGGCGTTACAAGTTTCCATTTTATGGAAATAAAGGATGGATATAGAAGATGGAAATAATTTCATGGCATCATTTTATAATATCAAAGCGTTGTAATACTATAGGAGACTAATGATACACAAAATTTTTCGATTGCGTGACATTCTTAGAAAAACAGGGACTTTCCCGAGGAAATGAGTCATAGCATTGCTATTTTTTTTTTAGGTCTTGTGATGGTCGCATGATTTTTTTCACATAAATAGAAATCTCACGTAATAATGTAATGGATTGTAATTCAGAAATTCATGATTAGTTTAAGGATATGGAACATTTTTTTTGTCCATTTTGTGAAGAGCAACTCTAAGAAAACACTAAAAAGTGAACCATGTGGTGAAAATATAAATTTGACAACTATGAATGGATAATATGTTTGTCAATGATATTTAATGAAAGAGGAACGAAAACCGTGTTTGCATACGCTCATGTAAAATGGTTTTATGGCCAATCAGAGCGCGCGGACTATTTGAATTATTTTATAAATGGGAAATAGTAAATGAGTTTGTGGATTTTCAGGAGAGTATATTTAACATAGTCCGAAAATCAGTTTTCCATCGAAAGTATCACATTCAGAATACAATCTTTGATATACGCAAAAGGAACAATATACAAATATCAACGAATGATGAAAATAAGATATTAGGGACTTTTGAAAGGATTGAGAGTGAGCTACCTCAGATCAAACATAAGAATTCGTAGCACGCGAGATTTCTCTTTTCCGGCTGGGCGGGTTGAGATGGGGCACTTCGTATACCTTATTTTTTCATTTTTGTAACAGAAAAAGAGCATAACTTTCAAAGAGACGAAAATATCGCATTAATTCACCGTGGGAAAAAGAAAAAAACTAATTAATTTTTCATTAATTAATCTGATCTCACACGAGTCCCAGTAGTCCCTAATAGAGTTGAGCAGCGGAAATGACTGCAGAGGATCATTAGAATGCTACAGATCCAGAGCTTCATGGGGGATCAGGAAAATTTTAGTGGAACCAAAATCCTCTACCTTCCACCCTCAAGTCTCAATGGAGGGGAATTACACCAATGGACTAAAGTAACCAGCTAACCAGCTAAAAAAAAAAGAGTCATCTCATAAAAAGCGACTGGAATTTAAAACCTGCCGCAAGAGAAAGTAAGATACAACGCAACTGGAAAAGTACACTGGTGAAATAAAAATTCAAGGTCAAATCGACTTTTGTTATTTGAAAAATAGCAGTCCGGAAATTTTTACACTGACTAATGTCTTCTTAACTGGAGGTAATAGATAAGCAAGAGTAGATCTCTTCCATCCTCACCCCCCACAAACATTGGTCGTTATTTTTTTAAAAACAAATTTTACTTTCACTTGGATAAAAGAACGCCTTGAAAAAATAAGTCCGCAAAATAACCAAGTAAAGAGTTCCAATATTGGAGCTGGTGTGAAACCTCCTAGGTTTTTAAAAACTAAGTAGTTTCAATTTCAGTCGCGATTGTAGAGAAAAGTCTGCTCTCTTTGTCACCCGGAGGTGTACGCTCTTCGTTTATGTCCATTCAAAGAAACTTCTCTGTGATTCTAATCCGTAACCTTTCGACACAATGTTTCCGATTTCAAGATGTTTGCTCTTCTTTAACAATACAAGCTGCTTCAAAGCTGTGTAGTTCACTCTCTTATATCCATCTTCACCCGTCACCACCGCCCACGGGTACAGTTTTTCTACTTCCTGAGCAATAACGCCATAATCTTGTCCTCTCTTACCCAGTTGCTCGGCGGCTTTTCTAGACCACCTCCAGCTGTAACCCTGAAGACCAATCTGCTTGAATTCTGAATACGGCAGGATTGTGATGTTCTCCTTCAATCTAGAATCACTTAGGACCCCGAACAGAACCGCACCGCCTATAACACCTCCCAAAATATCTTTTCGACGTTTTGATTCGGTCTCGTGTTGCCTTTGAGCTTCTCTTATTTGATTTAATCGTTCTTCCAAAATTTCTCGTTGCTTCTCTGCTTCCATTCTCTCTGCGCGTTCTGTGACGAGTCTCTCTTCCCTGTGAATTACTTCCTCCGTTGCCTTCCTCCTAATCTCTGCTTCTTGCTTTTTTAATATTTCTTCGTCTGGACTCAGTTGCGTTTCCCCGATTTCGTCTTTCAGGGCAACAACCTCAGCTATATGTTCACGGGTATCATTGATTTTCTCAGCCAGGGAGCATTTCTGAATAAACTGTTCCATTGCGTGATCTTTGGAACGTTTTATTTCTTCTATTTCCTTGGTCAGTAGTGGTTCAATGATCTCTCGGAATCCTCGATCACACAGATGTGTTTCAAGGGCAGTGTATGTATTTGATACACCACTCCAAGGATTTCTGCTGATCGCAACATGAAGTTTCCTAATGAGATCAGCCATCTTTTTCCCATCAATTACTTCTCCACGAACATTTTTCTTGCAAGGAAACCGTTTAAAATCCGCCGCGAGGGACGAAGCTATATTTGCATACACATCATCTTGTGAATCACGCAATCGTTTTGAATCCTCCACGTGGGGTATGTTCCTGACCTTGATGCGATCTCGAGGGAATAATCTACCTATAGATTTTCCGATGTTACTTCTATCGTTAACAATCCTGTTCTGAATTTCACTTTGTAGAGTGTTCCCCGGTGAGGGAGGAAGTGCATCGCGTAAAATCACCAATAATCCCGGATATGAACTAACACTGTGCACGTCATCTTCCCAGAACAGTTCGCTCACCCGCGACGTTCGATACAAAAACTTTACGTTGTAACTACTGATTCTTTCTCTGGCCAATAGAGCTAGTCCAGAGGAAACAAGAAACGTGAAAATGTGAAGTGAATCGGTAATCTCGTTGTCCTTAAAATTAGTTCCTTCTGTGTCGATCAGAATAGTGTACCCACCAAGGTTGTTCATATCTGGCAAAATCGACATCCACACTCCACTGGTACACGGTATACTATTTTCACAAGTTTTAAACACGTTCTGAACGTTAGCCGTTTTACTTCCATCCAAATAATGCCTGATCATATTTAGGGTCGTAGATTTGCCAACATAAGCGTCGCCAACCACGCTAATAATTCTTAACGGACCTTGGAGTGCTTCAATCTCACCAACAGCTAAGTCATTCAGAATAAACTTCTCGCTTTGATAATCGTACGTCAAAAGCGGTTTCGCCAACGAGCTGTCCATACAAACCGCGATTGAAATATTGCAAACTAGTACCAGAAATTCTAATTGAAGGTCTACGTCTCGCTTCATTCTTAAGCTAAAGATTGAAAAAAATTCCACGTTCTGGCGATTTCACCTTTGATCACGCAGGAAATTTGTTCAGTTTCGGTTTACTGATTTGCATTAGGGGGTAACCCCTTCCTACATCAAGTTTCCTTATTTGCTAGGGGGGGAAATCCCGGGAAAAACCCCAACAGTTTACCGGCTTTCATTTTAATCAATAGCTGCTTGTTAAAAGACCTAAGTTTGGCAATAAAATTTTAACTAGAGAGTTACACTTAGACAAAACTCTGCCGCGTTTGGGCAAATAAGCGAAGTTTGTAAAACCAGCAGGGAAAGGGTCGGGAGACTGTGTTAATAATTGATCGATCTTTCTTGAAAACTGTTCTGCTTGGTATGAAAATATGTGATCATGTGAAAACCGGTTATTCCCGTTCTTGGCTAGCACTTAGAGGTAAACCCCAAGATGTAATTAAGATCAATTTCATTTACTCCTGATCTGCTGTGGACGGCTACCTATCTCGCTCGCACGGCGTCAAAAAGAATGGATCTGCTTCGGTCTTTCATCCTGAGTATACATGTTATATTCAACGTTTGTCCTGGAGTGTATGGAGGAACAGCACAACTCCTTCTTAGAATTAATCCCGATCAGAAATCTTACGAGTTAAATCGGGGTTTACTAAAAGAAATTGCTGAACTTCCAGCACCTATTCAAATCACCGCTGTGGTTGGTGATGAAAGAGTTGGTAAATCACTTACATGGAACGCACTTAACTACATCTGGACTGGAAAGAATCGATCCTCTGAGCAAGTCTTCCAAACCGGTGACAGTCTTACGCGTGTCACGCGAGGAGTGTGGGCGTATGTCACACAACGCGAGAACAGAAGTGATATTTTGCTGGAAGTGGAGGCAGCCGATATAGGTGACGATAGCTTTGTGGCACAAATTTACATGTTTGCGGCGACGATTTCATCCGGCTTCATCGTTTTGGCGCGCGATTACGTTAAAGACAGCGATCTGGAGACGTTGAATCGTATGGCGCGTCTAAATGAGTTTGCTTTTCCGAGAACTTACTGTGACAATTTTCCAGAGGTTAAATTTGTGGTGAGAGGTGGACCCGGCGGAAGTGAAGACTCGCGATCGATGAGAAATTCAGTATTGGAAAGGTTAACCCCAAAGTACTTCCCAAGAAGCAAAATTACTGTCAGCCATATCTCACCCGTCATCGATCACGAAGTTTTCAAGGACTTTGGAAAATTGTCTCAAAGTAACTTCATGACTTCCATGGAAAATCTTGCAGCAGAAGTTGAGGGGTTTCCCGTTAAGAGAAACCTCGAAGGAATCCCTATGGATGGCAGCGAAGTTACAAAACTCATTGAGCGATTAGCAGAAACCATAAGCGCAAATAACGGGTTTGATTTTGCAGATATTTACAACGTAATCGAAAGTAATATTTGCAAAAGGAGTGAAAAGAACCTCTTTGGATCCCTTTTAGAGCTCAAATCAGAGCACATAGAACTCCGAAAGAAAAACATTTCGATCGCGTTCCTAAAACAGTGTCGTTTACATAGTGCTTTTGTATCTGCCAAAGATAACCTGGAGCGTATCATTCTCACAAAGAAGTCAGAGGATATGAAATTGATTCTTGCCGAATACAAAAGAAAGAAAGTGGAGAGAGACATCGAACAAATTGCTAAATTGAAGGGGGATTTTCAAAAAATAATTGCAGAAAAAGATCGGAAGACAGAGAAAGAGAGGGAAATGAGGCAAAGAGCTGACCAAGAAAATCAAGTTCTTCGAATGAAAATCGACATGGAGTTATTGAAGGAAGAAATGAAGCGTGGAGGATGGCTGAGTGCTCTAAGAGAGGTGTTGCTTTTCGATGAAATAAAAAATCTTAGGGAAGATATAAAGAGAATTACAGAACCTGAAAAAACGATTTCCATTCAAAAACTTTCTGAAACTTTCATAAAAATTTTAGGTTTGTGCAGTAATGCTTTAACATTAGCGCTGCAAATAAGGGAAATCTATCGCCAACCGGTCCCGAATCAGTAATCGGTTGCTTTCTACTAGCTGTTAAGTTTA